GTTAGCGCGCTGTGTATGTGTCTGTGTGTGTCTGTCTGTGTCTGTGTGTGTGTCTGTCTGAGTCTGTCTGTGTCTGTGTGTGTGTCTGTGTGTGTGTCTGTGTGTGTCTGTCTGTGTCTGTGTGGGTGTCTGTATCTGTGTGTGTGGAAGTGTAACGCATTGTAGTGTAGTGGTTAGCACGCCGCGCTACGAACCCGGCGACCCGAGTTCGATTCCCGCTCACGGCCACCGCCGGTGATGATTATTTGAACCAGTCCTGGGCCTCCCCTAAGTCGACTCAGCCTCAAACGAGTAACTGCCGTGGTGTGTGAACATCGCCACTGGGGAGACAAAGGCGGTCGGGCGTGGTGGATCCAAGTCCCGGGCGAAGCCGGGTAGTACAGCTCGTTGTGTACAAACCGCTCCACGGTAACGGCGAGACTCCCCAGGCTTGTTCACCCGAAGCTGGGGGTGCACGGAGCCTGCTCCCGCACAGCCCCAAGCACGTGGCACTCCCCGCTGCCCGCCTGCCACCGGACGCTCGCAATGCGCCGAGCGCCTCTCAGTTCCGTGGTCTGTGCACGACGCACCGACTGATTGATTGAATGATGTACAAAGACAAAGATCCTCCGTACAGCAGAAACAAGACTGTCGGGGCAAGTGTTGTTAGCGAGTAGCACCTACGAATGCCGGGACGGCACACGAGGGGGTGGGTGGCCAGCGCCACGCCCGACCGCCTTTGTCTCCCCCAGTGGCGACGGTTTTACCGGTTCAGATAATCGTGCACTGATGCCTACGTCACTTAGGGCGACATTGGCACGTGAAATAAATAACGATTGATTGATAAGCACGTGTTAGCACAAACACACAAATACTATACCACTGTGATCCCAGAAGGTAAGTGGAACTGAACTTATGTCAATGTCTCAATGGGAGATTGCCTGGGGAGAAGCAGGCGGTGTAGGCTTGGCCTGCGAGGTGGCCAGGATCCGGTAATGCAACAATGGATTAATGAATCCACTTGTGTGGATCTCTTGAGCGTTACCCTCTGAGTGTTACCCTCTCTCAGCTGTTCAAAATTGCCTCTCTCTGGTTCTCTCTCTCTCTCTCTGGTTCTCTCTCTCTCTCTGGTTCTCTCTCTCTGGTTCTCTCTCTCTCTGGTTTTCTCTCTCTCTCTCTGGTTCTCTCTCTCTGTGGCCTCTCTCTCTCTGGTTCTCTCTCTCCCTCTGGTTCTCTCTCTCTCTCTGGTTCTCTCTCTCTCTCTCTGGTTCTCTCTCTCTCTGTGGCCTCTCTCTCTCTGGTTCTCTCTCTCCCTCTGGTTCTCTCTCTCTCTGTGGCCTCTCTCTCTCTGGTTCTCTCTCTCCCTCTGGTTCTCTCTCTCTCTGGTTCTCTCTCTCTCTCTGGTTCTCTCTCTCTCTCTCTCTGTGGCCTCTCTCTGGTTCTCTCTCTCTCTCTCTGGTTCTCTCTCCCTCTGGTTCTCTCTCTCTGTGGCCTCTCTCTGGTTCTCTCTCTCTCTCTGGTTCTCTCTCTCTCTCTCTCTGGTTCTCCCTCTCTCTGGTTTCTCTCTCTCCCTCTGGTTCTCTCTCTCTCTCTCTGTGGCCTCTCTCTGGTTTCTCTCTCTCCCTCTGGTTCTCTCTCTCTCTCTCTCTGTGGCCTCTCTCTGCCCGGTGACTCCTCACCGAATCTCTCCCGATGTGCACGCACGACGCTGTGAGCTCTCAGTCCATGCCCCCCCCCCCCCCGTACGAGCCCACACCACTGGGGCGTGGGTCATCCCGCATCCCAACGTGGCAGGGTCCCTCCCCCCCCTGGAAAGCGGTCGTAAAGCAGATGATGAGTGCCAGATGCAACAAATCACATTTGCAAACGTGATTGTCGTGTAGCTATGATCCTTACCCATGCATCGATAGTTCAGCTTTGATGTGCACTTATCGAGGGACTGTTGTGTTGTCTTGGTGCCTTGCCCAAGATTGCATTTGGGGTTGAAATATCGGCAGGAATGGATGTGCTTATGCGATGTTTTACTTAAATACTTTATTCATTCAGTGACTCGCTTCGCTTTCCTACACTTTACACTCCGGTCGTATTTTTTTCATTGTCTGTTGTTGTAACGTCACAGCTCGTCGGATTTCTTCCAGTCTCAATCAACATTGTGATTCTCATTCCGTGTGAATGGGAGAGTGTGCGGGGCTTCGCGACGACTCAGTTGCACGGAGGCCACGGGCGGCCTTGGCCCCGCAAAGTTCAATTCCCATCCCCCCCCCACCTCAATAAATCTGAGCGGCACAATCGCAGGAAGCGACCGGCCCGGAGTCTCCCGGCCGCCGGCGTTGCGGTGGTGCTCCAAGCGTGAAACCGGGCCGCCGTCGTCACGGCAACCGGGCCGCCGTCGTCACGGCAACCGGGCCGTCGTCGTCACGGCAACCGGGCCGCCGTCGTCACGGCAACCGGGCCGCCGTCGTCACGGCAACCGGGCCGTCGTCGTCACGGCAACCGGGCCGTCGTCGTCACGGCAACCGGGCCGTCGTCGTCACGGCAACTGGGCCGTCGTCGTCACGGCAACCGGGCCGTCGTCGTCACGGCAACCAGGCCACCATCGTCACGGCAACCGGCCGGCAGTGGCCATGGCAACGGCCCGCATCCTCAGCAGCCGGGCCGGCGCGAACGCACGCACGCGGCGGAGCGGTCTGCGTGAGAACGAGCTCGTGGATCAGGAATCCCGCGGATCGCGACTCCGGGTGTTCCAGCGCGCCACCCCCAGACCACTCAACCACCCCCGATCCACTCCGTGGTCGATCTCAAGTCCACACACTCACACCTCTGCCTCTGGTCTCTCATCTCACTCTACGCCTCTCCACTCGCGGTCTCCTGCCTCTCCCCTTCGTTCTCGCTCTGCTGCATATTGTGGTGAAGGCTGAACGTCGTGGTGAGTGGGAGCTGAACATAGTGGTGAGTGGGAGCTGAATGTTGTGGTGAGTGGGAGCTGAACGTAGTGGTGAGTTAGAACTGAATGTTGTGGTGAGTGGGAACTGAATGTTGTGGTGAGTAGGAACTGAATGTTGTGGTGAGTGGGAACTGAATGTTGTGGTGAGTGGGAGCTGAATGTTGTGGTGAGTGGGAGCTGAACGTAGTGGTGAGTTAGAACTGAATGTTGTGGTGAGTGGGAGGTGAATGTTGTGGTGAGTGGGAACTGAATGTTGTGGTGAGTGGGAACTGAATGTGGTGGTGAGTGGGAACTGAATGTGGTGGTGAGTGGGAGCTGAATGTTGTGGTGAGTGGGAGCTGAATGTGGTGGTGAGTGGGAACTGAATGTGGTGGTGAGTGGAAGGTGAATGTTGTGGTGAGTGGGAGGTGAATGTGGTGGTGAGTGGGAACTGAATGTTGTGGTAAGTGGGAACTGAATGTTGTGGTGAGTGGGAACTGAATGTGGTGGTGAGTGGGAACTGAATGTGGTGGTGAGTGGGAGCTGAATGTTGTGGTGAGTGGGAGCTGAATGTGGTGGTGAGTGGGAACTGAATGTGGTGGTGAGTGGGAGGTGAATGTGGTGGTGAGTGGGAGCTGAATGTTGTGGTGAGTGGGAACTGAATGTGGTGGTGAGTGGGAGCTGAATGTGGTGGTGAGTGGGAACTGAATGTGGTGGTGAGTGGGAGGTGAATGTTGTGGTGAGTGGGAGCTGAATGTGGTGGTGAGTGGGAGCTGAATGTGGTGGTGAGTGGGAACTGAATGTGGTGGTGAGTGGGAGCTGAATGTGGTGGTGAGTGGGAACTGAATGTGGTGGTGAGTGGGAGCTGAATGTGGTGGTGAGTGGGAACTGAATGTGGTGGTGAGTGGGAACTGAATGTTGTGGTGAGTGGGAACTGAATGTGGTGGTGAGTGGGAACTGAATGTGGTGGTGAGTGGGAACTGAATGTGGTGGTGAGTGGGAGCTGAATGTTGTGGTGAGTGGGAGCTGAATGTGGTGGTGAGTGGGAACTGAATGTGGTGGTGAGTGGGAGGTGAATGTGGTGGTGAGTGGGAGCTGAATGTTGTGGTGAGTGGGAACTGAATGTGGTGGTGAGTGGGAGCTGAATGTGGTGGTGAGTGGGAGCTGAATGTGGTGGTGAGTGGGAACTGAATGTGGTGGTGAGTGGGAGCTGAATGTGGTGGTGAGTGGGAACTGAATGTGGTGGTGAGTGGGAGCTGAATGTGGTGGTGAGTGGGAACTGAATGTGGTGGTGAGTGGGAGCTGCCTACTAGATGCAACTGCGCCTGCAGGATCCTGCACCTACACCCGGACAGCACGAGGCAGCACCCCACCCCCCTCGTCCTCGTCTCCCGTGACCTCGTGACCCCGTCTCCCGTGGGTCGTACGCGCCGCCCGATAGACAGAGCGAGGCCCAGCGCGGGCGCGGCGTGGAGGGCCCAGCGCGGGCGCGGCGTGGAGGGCCCAGCGCGGGCGCTTCCTGCCATTGTGGCTCCAGCGGCCGAGACCGCGGCCAACTTTCCTCCCGCTCGCTGGGTCGCTGGCGTGTGGGCGGACGGGCGAGCGGACGGGCGAGCGCGTGGGAGGGAGGGCGAGCGGGAGCGTGGGAGAGCGAGCGAGTGGGAGGCTGAGCAGGCACGGCAGGTGGGAAGGCGAGCGAACGGGCGTGGGAGTAGCGGGTGGCTGGGTAGCTGAGCGGGAGCGCGGGCGATCAGGGAGATTGAGGCGTGCGAGGGCAGAAGGGCGAATCTGCGCACTGCATGATGGGAGCGCGGACACGAGGGTGAGCGGGGAGCTGGGACGAGTGCAGAGTGTCAGGTAGGGGGTGAGCAGGCGGGGGCTCGGTGAGCAGTGGTCCCGCACGATGGCACGGGTGAGAGGGTGAGGGGACAAGCGGAAGGCGTGCGGGTGTGCTCGTGGGTGAGCAAGTGGCCGTGTGCGTGGGCGGGCGAGTTAATGGGTGAACTCGCGGGTGAGCGAGCAGACAGGCGAGCGAGAGGGCGAGCGGGCGGATGAGCGAGCGTGTGGGCGAGTGGAGGGAGCGAGCGGGCGCACTCACTTGACGTTGGTGTTGGTACATACGATGTACTCCACCTCATCGGAGTAGGGGTTCTGGAATGTGAAGCTGCTGGTGCGGAGCCAGACCCACTCGCGGCCCTTGCTGCGGAACCGGAACATCACCGACAGCACCTGGCCCTTGAGCTTCAGCACCTGCACGCACGCACGCACGGCAACAGGCCACAAACACGAGGCAAAGCTCCCCTGTGTAGCCTTAACAGACTTGTGGGGCAAGTGCCTTCCTTTTTTTCCCTTCCCCGCACCTCCGATTAGCACGGCTGCCTCTGTACGTTGGGAGAGAAGCTCAACATACATACGGCACGGGCACAAGTAGCACTGCTGCTGCTGCTGCTGCTGCCTCTGCTACTGTAGCTGCAGGAGCAGCGGCTCACCTGCTGGAAGCTGTCGCGCACGTGGCTCTGATCCTCCGGGTGGCAGAATCCAACGGGATCCTTGCCGAGCAGTTCCTGGCGCACAGCGCACGACATCGCCACCATCGCCGTCAACATGGCCATCGACGTCGTCGCGGTGGTGCGGCGTGTGCGGCGGTGCGACGCGACGGGGGGGGTGGGCACCGGTCCCCACCTGCGGCTGGTACCCCAGCACCCCGGAGCAGCGGTGGTCCACGAAGGTGAAGGCGCCGTCGATGTTGTGGCGGGAGATGAACTCGGAGGGCAGCGAGGAGGCCGCCATGTCCCCGCAGTTTGGCGAGCTCGTCACCTGCGCGCGTCAGTTAGGACTCCCTGGGTCACGACACTCCAGTGTACGTCACGTGAGCCCCCAGGGTACCAATCCTGTTACAGCATCACGACTCCACGCACTCCTGGACCCCAGGCTACAATCGCTCCGTCGCTCGCCCCCGGTGAACCACGCACCCCGCGTCTAAACTTCCAGATGTCATCACTGGACACGGGCGGCGGCTCTCTTCCCCCCCACCTCCACCGCACAGCTGGCAGTCGGCTCCAGGGCCACGCGGAAACAGCCGCGATGCTCAACAGGAACAACAAAACACGCGTTGCAGCTCCGGGTCTGGGCGCGGGGCCGTTGTGCCGCGCGAGAGCTCTTGGCCCCTCTGCCTGGTTGCCGGGGCAGCAACCGGTTGTGTGAGCGCGCACCCCGCGAGGAAGCGACGCGCTGGCATGGGCGCGCCCACGAGAGCCAGTGCCCGCGTGCCAGTGTGCCCACGAGAGCCAGTGTGCCCGCGTGCCCGCGTGCCAGTGCGCCCACGAGAGCGAGTGTGTCCGCGTGCGTGCGTTTGGCCGGATATGGGGGGCTAGAAGGGCGCGACGCGGGCTGAAGAAGATATGGAGCTGAGCGGACTTGTCGAAGACTGGTACCAGCGGTGTCAAGATCGGCTCGTGAAGGACGCTACTGGGCAGTTGGAGGCGGTCGCCCTCCAGTAACAATGGAGGCAGAGGAGCGACGCTCACAACAACGAGCAGAGCGGATAAAATGCAGGCACAGTAGGAGGTGCAACTGGTGCATCTGCCATCCATCTCAGTCAGTCAACCCACGGGACCTGCAGGGTCTGTCCCGTGACATCCTGCCAGCGAGCCTTCGAGAATTCACGCGGCCTCAAAGTGTACACAGCCTGGCACAGGCCCCGTGGTGATGTCACCGTAACTTAGTGGCCAATCGCGGTTATTGGTTATTATTGGTGCGTGTGCGTGTGTGTACGTGTGTGTGTGCTTTTACAGCTTGCACGGCGAGTTGCCAACAGTGCCACACGAAAGGAGTGGGGGGTTCACACCACATGGCCGGCGGGCACAGCATTGGCACAACGTGGGCACAACTTTTGCACAACATCGCCGCCGGACAAGGGATGAAGGCGCCGCCCCAGTGGGTGCTGGGGCACTTTGCACGAGGGCTTCATTCCTCACTCAATATTTTCCGGGTCGCTTGTCGACTGGAGTAGGTGCCGCGTGACTATTAGGCACGGCCCATAGCGAGAGGTCTACTGGACGCGGTGCCCCGTCCGAATTCACCTGGAGGCGGCCGATGGCGACCAGGCAGTACTTGCTCCCTTGCGACGCCTCCGAGTCCTCCTCCGTCATGGTCATGCCTGGTGAGGAGGAGGAGGAGGGGGAGGAGGGAGGAGGAGGAGGAGAGGGAAGCACCCCGTCACGCGTCGACGCCACGCGGAACGGCTCTCGCCTGCGCGGAAGGGAGGTGGCACGCCTGTGCGTAGACACCTGGCGGAGGCCGAGCAAACCCGCTCAGAGCCGACAGATTCACGCGAGATCAGGCGCTCGTGCCGCTCAAGTACAGCTCCATACCGAGCGTCGCTCCTCGGCTCCGCGCGGCGAGCGTGACTTGGGGGGGGGGGGGCGACCGACACGGGAGGATGACTCACGGCGTGGATCGCTCCTCTACATTTATCACGACGAGAGTTCCGCTCCGTGGCGGGGGAAAAACCGCAAAGCCCCCCGTGGCCGCACGAGGGCGCAGCGCTCGCAAGATCCTCGCCAACCCGACGCGCCGCGCTGCCGTCGCTTAGCCCGGGAGGGATTCTGGAGACTCCACGCGATACGCCGGCCCTCTGCGCTCGCAAGCGCTGGCTCAGAGCCGTCCGCCGCTGACCGCAGCTGGCGCGAAAACCACAGGAGAGCGAACCACACTGTCCTGAAGCGGAAACACGAACACAGAAAAACATTTGCGCGTAGAGCTTGGGTCGGGCTCGTCAGGCACCGTGCGACATGTTTTGGCCGGGGACATCAAACCGGAGCGTTACCGCCACTGCCCTTGGCGGCGTGAGCCCCCCGTGATCGCACACGGGGTGGGGGGGGGTCTGGTCTGGGGGGGCACCACGAGGGTCGCTCTGTCCGGCCCTCAGGCCGTGCCCCGCCAGGTGCCGGGACCTCCTCCGGGAGCTGTTGGGCACGCGGTGGACTCGGCCTCGGGGTGGGGAGCGGTGACGCAGCGCTACGAACCCGGGCGACCCCAGTTCCATTCCTGCTCGTGCCCAATAACAGCGAAGAGTATTTTAACAATCCCCCAGGTCGACTCAGGGGAAACAAAGGCGGCCGCGCGTGGTGTGACCTGCCCGCCCAGTGCTCGTTAACAGCATTTGTCGGTTTTTGCAGAAGTTCCCAGGACGCGTCATCCCTGACCGCCTTTGTTTCCCCAATGGCGGTGTTTACCACCACACTAGGTACCCATTTAAGGCCGAGTCGACGTAGGGGAGGCCCGGGTCTGCAGACGCCACTCATCACCGACGTTGCCCTTAGCTCCGAATTTAAATCGGGTCACCGGGTTCATTGCGCAACGTGCGAGCCGCTGCGCCAGACACCAACAACAACAACCGCCAATCGCCACTAAGTGGCGGTGACGTCACCACGACGCTTGTGCCAGGCTATGTGCACCTTGAGGCCACGTGAAGTGCCGAACGCCCGCTGGCAGGAGGTCACGGTGCAGACCCAGGTGCCACGGGTCGACTGAGATGACTGAGATGACTGGCTGATGCACCACCTGTGCCCCCTACTGTGCCAACCTGCTGTGCTTTAGCCACCCGGCGCTCCGCTCGTTGTTGTGAGCGTCGCTCCTCCGCCCTCCGTTGTTGTTGGAGGGCGACTGCCTCCAATTGCCCAGTAGCGTCCTTCACTTGCCTCCTCCACAGAGGCCGATCTTGACACCGCTGGTACCAGTCATCGGCAAGTCCACTCAGCCCCACGTCCTCCTGTACCACATCACTCCATCTCTTCTCTAGCCCGTGCCGCGCCCGTTTAGCCCCCTCGATCCGGCCGAACAAAAGCTGTTTCGGCATGCGGTGGCTGGGCATGGGGGCTACATGACCCAGACACCAACACACAACAACACAGACAAAGATCCCCTGCATAGCCTTTACCAGACCGATGGGGCAAGTGCTGTTCGCGAGAACCGATGAAGACCGGCACAGTGCACGAGGGGTGGTGTGGCCAGCACCACGTCCGGCCGCCTTTGTCTTACTCATGTTTACCGCACCGGGTACACTTTTTTAAGGCCGAGTCGACCTAGGGGAGGCCCAGGAATGGTTAATTTATTCGTCACCGGTGTTGGCCGCGAGCGGGGAATCTAACTCGGGTCTGCTAGTTCGTAGCACAGTGCGCTAACCACTGCGCCACGGCTCCCTACACACGCCAACAAACACAGCTGCACACATCAACAGCAACACACACATACAGCACGTGTCCTCTGACAGGCAGCAACACACACAGCGCCACGCATCATGAGCTGCATTATTAAAATACGCACGTGCCTGTGCGCGCGCGCGTATGGGGAGCGGTGGTGCAGCGGTTCGCGTGTCGCGCTGACGAAGCCGGCGATCCGAGTTCGAGTCCCGATCGCGGTCCAAAGTCTCCCCTAGGTGGACTCAGCCTTGAAAATAAATAGTACCTGGTGCGTTGTGTAAACCTCAGCACTGTGAAGTCAAAGGCGTTCGTTGAAGCATGGTTCTGTCCACACCAGCCCGTCGAGCGCTGTGCCGACCTTCATGGATAGCTACTCGCTAACAGCACTTTCCTCAACACCCTGCGTGAGCTATATGGGGTGTCTTTGTCTGTGTGTGTGTGCCTGTGCGGCGCACTATGAAACTATAAAACGTCAAAACAAAGTGACACGAGGCAGCATCGTCAGCTGCGGCGCCCTGGCAGAAAATCAGCAACATTCGCAACTATTCGGGCAGAGGGGAGAGAGGGGGAGCAGGGACGGAGGCGGGGGACGAGCGGAGGGAGAATAGAACGGGAGCAGAGAGACGGGGAGATGGCGGGGGGAGAGACGGGGAGATGGGGAGCGAGACCGGGAAGGAGACGGAGAGATGGGGAGGGAGATAGGGAGGGAGATGGGAAGGGAGACGGAGAGATGGGGAGGGAGATGGGGAGGGAGACGGAGAGATGGGGAGGGAGACGGAGAGATGGGGAGGGAGATGGGGAGGGAGACGGGGAGGGAGACGGGGAGGGAGACGTGGAGATGGGGAGGGAGATGGGGAGGGAGACGGAGAGATGGGGAGGGAGATGGGGAGGGAGACGGGGAGGGAGACGGAGAGATGGTGAGGGAGACGGGGAGGGAGACGTGGAGATGGGGAGGGAGATGGGGAGGGAGACGGAGAGATGGGGAGGGAGATGGGGAGGGAGATGGGGGGAGATGGGGAGGGAGATGGGGAGGGAGATGGGGAGGGAGATGGGGAGGGAGACGGGGAGGGAGACGTGGAGATGGGAAGGGAGACGGGGAGGGAGACGTGGAGATGGGGAGGGAGACGGAGAGATGGGGAGGGAGATGGGGAGGGAGATGGGGGGAGATGGGGAGGGAGATGGGGAGGGAGACGGGGAGAGAGACGTGGAGATGGGGAGGGAGACGGGGAGGGAGACGTGGAGATGGGGAGGGAGATGGGGGGAGATGGGGAGGGAGATGGGGAGGGAGACGGGGAGGGAGACGTGGAGATGGGGAGGGAGACGGGGAGGGAGACGTGGAGATGGGGAGGAGGATGGGGAGGGAGATGGGGAGGGAGATGGGGAGGGAGATGGGGAGGGAGACGGGGAGGGAGACGGGGAGGGAGACGTGGAGATGGGGAGGGAGATGGGGAGGGAGACGGAGAGATGGGGAGGGAGATGGGGAGGGAGACGGGGAGTGAGACGGAGAGATGGGGAGGGAGACGGGGAGGGAGACGGAGAGATGGGGAGGGAGATGGGGAGGGAGACGGAGAGATGGGGAGGGAGATGGGGAGGGAGATGGGGGGAGATGGGGAGGGAGATGGGGAGGGAGATGGGGAGGGAGACGGGGAGGGAGACGTGGAGATGGGGAGGGAGACGGGGAGGGAGACGTGGAGATGGGGAGGGAGATGGGGAGGGAGATGGGGGGAGATGGGGAGGGAGATGGGGAGGGAGATGGGGAGGGAGACGGAGAGATGGGGAGGGAGATGGGGAGGGAGACGGGGAGGGAGACGTGGAGGGAGACGTGGAGATGGGGAGGGAGATGGGGAGGGAGATGGGGGGAGATGGGGAGGGAGATGGGAAGATGGGGAGGGAGACGGGGAGGGAGACGGGGAGCGGGGAGGGAGACGGGGAGGGAGACGGGGAGATGGGGAGGGAGATGGGGGAGACGGAGGGAGATGGAGACGAGGAGAGAAATGGGGGGGAGAGGGAAACAGGGCGATGGAGAGGGAGAAGGAGGGGAGAGGGGGAGGGGAACGATGGGGGGAAGAGGAGGACAGGAAGAAGCGAATCACGCGATCGAGGAGAGTTTGGCAGAGTGCGGTGTGCGCGCGTGTGTGGGGGGGAGCGGTGGCGCAGTGATTAGCGCACTGTGCTATGAACCCGGGGTTAACCCAAGTTCGATTCCCGAAAGATGTGATCTAGTCCTGAGCCTCCCGTAGGTCGACTCAACCTTAAATGAGTACCTGATGCGGTGTGTGTGAACGTCAGGCAAAAGACGGGCGGGCGTGGCGCTAGCCACACCCCCTCCCTCGTCTGCCATGTCGATCTGCATAGGAGCTCTCGAACAGCCCTTGCCACGATATAGTCTGCTAAAGGCTATACGGAGGACCTTCGTATTTTTAGCTTTGTGTGTTTGTGTGCACCTGCAGTTATTGCAGTGGCGGATCCAATGGAGGGGTGGTGGTAGGGGGGGAATGAGCGCCCCCCCCCCCGACCACTGCCTACCCCTTGAGTCCTCGGAAATCGGTATTTTATTGATACATACCAGAAAAAAAAACCGTGCATGGTTAAAGATCTCGCACCCCCCCCCCTCCCGAGAGGAAGCTCTTCATTATGAGAGTCGCGTGCAGGACGCGTGTGCACGTGTCTGTGTGCACGTGGTTGTGTGTCTGCGTGCACGTGTCTGCGTGCACGTGTCTGCGTGCACGTGTCTGCGTGCACGTGTCTGCGTGCACGTGTCTGCGTGCGTGTGCACGCGGTAGTGTGTGTGTGCACGCGGTAGTGTGTGTGTGCACGCGGTTGTGTGCGTGCACGTGGTTGTGTGCGTGTGTTGTGGGGAGCGGTGGCGTAGCGGTTAGCGCGTTGAGCTACGAACTCCGGCGGCCCGAGTTCGAATACCGCTCACGGCGAACACCGGTGACGAGTATCTGGACCGGATCCTTGGCGACTCAGCCTCAAATGAGTACCTGGTGCGGTGTGTAAACATCGCCACTGGGGAGACAAAGGCGGCCGGGCGTGGTGCTGGACACTCACCCACTCGCATGCCGTATCCGGCTTTCATAGGTGCTCGCTAACCGCACTTGCCCCAACAGTCTGTTAAGGCTACATGGGGATCTTGTGTTCACGTCATACCAGTGGGGCAAGTGGTGTGAGCGAGCACGAGGGGTGGGTGGCCTCATCTTGGTGTGTGTGTGTCCGCGTGTGTCCGCGTGTGTGAGAGTGTCTGCACCATTGTCTTTGTGCGCTGACCACGCTCACGAAGAGCCTGGCAAAGGCTGCACGGGGCGGGATCGATGGGATCGATGTCTTCGAGTGCGTGGGGAGCGGCACTACGAACCCGGCGACCCGAGTTCGATTCCCACTCACGGGCAACGGCAGCGGGCCCTCCCCTGGGTCGCCTCGGCCTTGACGTTCACACACAATGCGTCGTGTGTCAACATCGGCACTGGGAGAGAGAGACAAAGGCGGCCGGGCATTGCGTTGGGCAAACTGGCAGTGTGTGATAGGGCTGCCCTGGGGGCTCTTAAGCGTCTCACCGGCTGGCGGCCAGGCCTTGATGTACCCGGTGCAGTGCACCACGGCGTGCTGCGCCTCACCCTCCTTCGCTGGGCCCAGGCTGTTCCTGCGTGTGGCGGAGACACCTCGTCAGTGCCACAACCTCGTCAACATCACCACCATCATCATCATCACCACCATCATCACCACCACCATCATCACCACCATCATCACCATCATCACCACCATCATCACCACCATCATCACCACCACCATCATCACCACCATCATCACCATCATCATCACTATCACTACCACCATCATCATCACCACCACCATCATCACTATCACCACCATCATCATCATCACCACCACCATCATCATCACCATCATCACCACCACCATCATCACCACCACCATCATCATCATCACCATCATCATCACCATCATCATCACCATCATCACCACCACCATCATCACCATCATCGCCATCATCACCACCACCATCATCACCACCATCATCATCACCATCATCATCACCACCACCATCATCATCACCACCATCATCATCATCACCACCACCATCATCATCACCACCACCATCATCATCACCATCATCATCATCACCACCATCATCACCACCATCATCATCATCACCACCACCATCACCATCATCGCCATCATCACCACCACCATCATCATCACCATCATCGCCATCATCATCACCATCGCCATCACCATCATCACCACCACCATCATCATCACCACCATCATCATCATCACCATCATCACCATTACCACCATCATCACCATCACCATCATCGCCATCATCATCATCATCGCCATCCAGTGCCGGATTAAGCTAGTGCAGGGCCTGTAGCATATGGTATTAAGAGGCCTTACGTAAAAAAAAACACGTAAATATTAAAACATAACATGTTTAGCTTGCATAGTAAAGTAATTGTATTTTTTCATTTGCTATACAGCCAGATAACACGACAAATCTCTAACCGTAAACACCCAGTCGTTCATAAAAGTTGAAGGCGGTATAGTACTATAGTAATAGAGCAAGTGCAGAATCAGTGAACCGGAATTGATAGCTTGAAAGCATTTAGCGCGGGGCCCTTGAAAGTGCGGGGCCCGTAGCTACTACTACATATATAGCCACTACATGTGTAGTAGCTACATATGTAGTAGTAGCTACTACTACACCACAACACACACACACCACTACAACACACACACACCACCACAACACACACACACCACTACATATGTAGTAGTAGCTACTACTACATATGTAGCTACTTTTGCTACGAGGATCATCCGGCACTGTCGCCATCATCATCATCATCGCCATCACTGCCAAGATCGTCATCGCCCATCAGCACTCGCACAGCATCATCACCATTACTTGATCACCAATGATCAACATCGTTGTGGTGGTGTGGCCACCAACGCCCGGTTATCTCTGTCTCCCCAGTGCTGATGCGTTTCTACACCGCGCCAGGTAACTTGTTTAAGGCTGAGTCGACCTAGGGGACGGCCTCGAACCGGTGCAAATATTTCGTGTCACTCTTATTGGCCGCGACCGAGAATCGAATTCGGTTCGCCGGGTTGGTAGTGCAGTGCGCTAACCACAACACTACTGCTTCTAACACACACACACAACACATACACCACACACACCACACACACAAAACACACACACACCACACACACACAACACACACAACACACACACACAACACACACCACACACACACACCACACGCACATACACACCACACACAACACACACACACAACACACACACACACACAACACACACACCACACACACACACCACAACACACCACACACAACACACACATACACACCACACACACACACACCACAACACTACTGCTCCTAACACACAACACACACACACACCACACACATCACACACACCACAACACACACACACCACATACACCACAACACACACACCACAACACACACACCACACACAACACACACACACCACACACAACAACAACAACCGCCATTCGCCACTAAGTGGCGGTGACGTCACCACGACGCTTGTGCCAGGCTATGTGCACCCTGAGGCCACGTGAAGTGTCGAACGCCCACTGGCAGGAGGTCACGGGGCAGACCCAGGTGCCACGGGTCGACTGACTGAGATGACTGGCTGATGCACCACCTGTGCCCCCTACTGTGCCAACCTGCTGTGCTTTAGCCACCCGGCGCTCCGCTCGTTGTTGTGAGCGTCGCTCCTCCGCCCTCTGTTGTTGTTGGAGGGCGACTACCTCCAACTGCCCAGTAGCGTCCTTCACGGGCCTCCTCCACAGAGGCCGATCTTGACACCGCTGGTACCGGTCATCGGCAAGTCCACTCAGCTCCACATCCTCCTGTACCACATCACTCCATCTCTTCTCTAGCCTGTGCCGCGCCCGCTTAGCCCCCTCAATCCGGCCGAACAAAAGCTGTTTCGGCATGCGGTGGCTGAGCATGCGGGCTACATGACCCAGCCAACGCAGCCTTCCCCGCCGGAGGAGCTCACCGATGGGACCTTGCCCAGATCTTTCAAGGATTTGTGAGCTCCTCACACAATCCAGTCTGGTTAAACCCAGGATGGATCGTAGGCAGGCCAGCCTAAATGTTTCTAACCGGCGAAGATGTTCCATTATGGGGGTGCACGTTTCGCAAGCATAGAGAAGGGAGGGAATGACCGTGGCCGAGAAGACCTGAAGCTTAGTGCGGAGCGACAGACCAGGTAGCTTCCACACAGCGTTACGCAACCAATGAAAGGATATTGCCGCTCGACTGATTCGGAGTGAGACCTCTGCTGTTAAACTGGAGGCAGTCATAAGCACACTGCCCAGGTATGGGAAACTCTCCACTCTCTCCACAACTGCCCCATCACCGATTGGGAGTTGTGGGGGTGGAGTGTCCGATGGTACAAAATACCCAGGCAGGTGCTTAGTTTTGGTGGGGTTGATGGTAAGGCCCCACCTCTTAGTGGCACGCTCCAGTCTCAGCAGCAGCGCCTCCAACTCCTCCTCTGAATGAGCAGCTATTACCAAATCATCAGCATACATAACGTGGTTGAGCAATAGGGAGCCATCCCTTGACCGCACCCGGGCATCGATCAGCCTCCCATTATATCTGTACCATATGGAGATTCCCCTGGTACAGCTATTGAAGGCTTCACGAACTACGTGGTCAAAATAGATGTTAAATAATGTGGGAGCCAGAGGATTTCCCTGTCGCACCACAAGGTGTACAGGGAATGGCTCTGACTCACGCCCACGAAGTTTTACCCGGCCCGCTCACCATCATGAAGGTCCTTAATGATCGTGAGCAGAGGGTCAGGTACTCCAAAAGCACGAAGAACAACCCAGAGCCCAGGCCTACTGATGGTATCATAGGCCTTGACCAGGTCAATAAAGCAGAGATGTAGGTCTTGTTGGAATTCCCTACACCTCTGCTGTAGCAGACGGACAGAAAATATGGCATCTGTGCAGGACTGCCCTTTACTGAAACCGCATTGGGGCTCCGCAAGCCTCTCCTCAGCGTGCCTGGCAAGGCGATGCTGAATAATCCTTGCCAGGACCTTTCCCGGCACACTGAGGAGTGAGATGCCCCTGTAGTTGTTACAGTCTGTGCGGTCCCCCTTCTTAAAAAGGGGGACCACCAGGGCATCCTTCCAATCCTGCGGAACCCATCCAGTGGTCCAGACCGTTGTTATGATGTCATATAGGGCAGTCTGTGCACAAACGCCACCCTCCCTCAGCATTTCTGCCCGCTGCCTTTTCTGGTCTCAGACTCCGGATCGTCTTCAGTACTTCCTCAACAGATGGCACTTCAGCCAGCCACTCACAGGGGGTGACTTCTTCCAATATTTGAGGCACCGCAGCCTCAGCAGGGTCATCCTCACTTTGTGCCACGATGTTTTCCTGGCTGAGGGATTTTCCCTCCCCCAGGACCTCACAGAAATGCTCAGCAAATCTGCAAACCTGTTCCTGGGCGTCGGAGATTGGATCACCGTTTTTTCCCCTAATGATTGTAATAGGTGTGGTGCTGCAGGTTACTTTTTTGATGGAGTTAAATAGAGATTTGTGATCACGGGCCACTGAGGCAGCACCACACACAAACACCACAACACACACCACACACACACACCACAACACTACTGCTCCTAACACACACCACACAAACCACACACACAACACACACACCACACACCACACACACCACACACACCACAACACACACCACAACACACACCACACACACACCACACACACACCACAACACACACACCACACACACACCACAACACTACTGCTCCTAACACACACCACACAAACAACACACTCACACCACACACACACCACACACACACACCACAACACACACACACCACACACACCACACACACACACAACACTACTGCTCCTAACACACACACATCACACACCACAACACACACACCACACACACACCACACACGCACAACACTACTGCTCCTAACACACACCACACACACACCACACACACACCACACAACACACACACACCACACACACCACAACACACACACCACACACACACCACACACCACAACACACACATAACACACACTACACACACACCACACACACACAACACACACACCACAACACACACTACACACACAACACACACACCACAAACACACACACAACACACACACACACCACACACACACAACACACACACCACAACACACACTACACACACAACACACACACCACAAACACACAACACACACCACACACACCACAACACACCACACACACACAATACTACTGCTCCTAACACACACACACATCACACACCACAACACACACACCACAACACACACTACACACACAACACACACACCACAAACACACAACACACACCACACACACCACAACACACCACACACACACAATACTACTGCTCCTAACACACACACACATCACACACCACAACACACACACCACAACACACACACAACACACACACCACACACACCACACACACACACCACACACACAACACTACTGCTCCTAACACACACCACACACACCACACACACACACCACATTCACACCACACACACCACACACACACCACACACACCACACACACACACCACACACACACCACAACACACACACCACAACACTACTGCTCCTAACACACACCACACACACATCACACACACACCACACACACCCCACAACACACAAACCACACACACACACCACACACACAACACTACTGCTCCTAACACACACCACACACACCACACACACACACCACATTCACACCACACACACCACACACACACCACACACACCGCACACACACACCACACACACACCACAACACACACACCACAACACTACTGCTCCTAACACACACCACACACACATCACACACACACCACACACACACCACAACACACACACAACACACACCACACACACCACAACACACACTACACACACCACACACACCCCACAACACACAAACCACACACACACAACACACACACCACACACACACAACACACACACAACACACACACAACACACACACACACACACCACAACACACACTACACACACACACACACCAAACACACACACCACACACACAACACACAACACACACCACACACACACCACAACACACACTACACACACAACACACACACCACACACACAACACACACCACACACAACACACACACCACAACACACCACACACACAACACTACTGCTCCTAACACACACCACACACACACCACAACACACACACAACACACACACACCACACACACCACACACACACAACACTACTGCTCCTAACACACGCCACACACACACAACACACACACACACCACACACACAACACACAACACACACCACACACACACCACAACACACACTACACACACACCACAACACACACTACACACACAACACACCACACACACACCACACACACACACACAACACACACACCACAACACACCACACACACAACACACACACCACACACACAACACACACACACCTAACACACACCACAACACACACACCACACACACACAACACACGCACCACACACACAACACACGCACATCACACACACCACACACATCACACACATCACACACACTACACACACACCACACGCACACACAACACACGCACATCACACACACCACACACACACACCACACACATCACACGCACACAACACACGCATGCACACACCACACGCAAAAAAATACGAAGATCCCCCTATAGCCTTAACAGACTGTCGGGGCAAGTGCTGTTAACGAGCACCTATGAAGGCCGGCACGGCACACGAGGGGGTGGATGGCCAACACCACGCCCGGCCACCTTTGTCTCTCCAGTGGCGATGTTTACACATCGCACCAGGCACTCATTTGAGGCTGAGTCGACCTAGGGGAGGCCCAGGACCGGTCCAGATAATCGTCACCGGTGTTGGCCGTGAGCGGGAATCGAACCCGGGTCGCCAGGTTCATAGCGCAGCGCGCTAACCACTACCCAACCACCACACACACCACACACTACACACACATTACACACACCACACACTACACACACATTACACACACCACACACTAGACACACATTACACACACCACACACTACACACACATTACACACACCACACACTAGACACACATTACACACACCACACACTACACACACATTACACACACCACACACTACACACACATTACACACTACACACACATTACACACACCACACACTACACACACATTACACACACCACACACTACACACACATTACACACACCACACACTACACACACATTACACACACCACACACTACACACACATTACACACACCACACACTACACACACATTACACACACCACACACTACACACACATTACACACACCACACACTACACACACATTACACACACCACACACTACACACATATTACACACACCACACGCTACACACACATTACACACACCACACACTACACACACATTACACACACCACACACTACACACGCATTACACACACCACACACTACACACACATTACACACACCACACACTACACACGCATTACACACACCACACACTACACACACATTACACACACCACACACTACACACACATTACACACACCACACACTACACACACATTACACACACCACACACTACACACACATTACACACACCACGCACTACACACACATTGCACACTACACACACATTACACACACCACACACTACACACACATTACACACACCACACACTACACACACATTACACACACCACACACTACACACACATTACACACACCACATACTACACACACATTACACACACCACACACTACACACACATTACACACACCACACACTACACACACATTACACACACCACACACTACACACACATTACACACACCACACACTACACACACATTACACACACCACACATTACACACACCACACACTACACACACATTACACACACCACACACTACACACACATTACACACACCACGCACTACACACACATTACACACTACACACACATTACACACACCACACACTACACACACATTACACACACCACACATTACACACACCACACACTACACACACATTACACACACCACACACTACACACACATTACACACACCACACACTACACACACATTACACACACCACATACTACACACACATTACACACACCACACACTACACACACATTACACACACCACACACTACACACACATTACACACTACACACACATTACACACACCACACACTACACACACATTACACACACCACACACTACACACACATTACACACACCACACACTACACACACATTACACACACCACACACTACACACACATTACACACTACACACACATTACACACACCACACACTACACACACATTACACACACCACACATTACACACACCACACACTACACACACATTACACACACCACACACTACACACACATTACACACACCACACACTACACACACATTACACACACCACATACTACACACACATTACACACACCACACACTACACATACATTACACACACCACGCACTACACACACATTACACACTACACACACATTACACACACCACACACTACACACACATTACACATACCACACACGAGGATGTCTCTCGCCGTCTCTCCGACGACGCTGGAATGCAGGGATTATGATTGTTGTAGATTCTGATAATGTTCATTTATTTCTAAGGAACCTGCCGCTGGGGGAGTGTCGGGTTTCGCAGCCCGCGACGGAGCTTACGGACTGACCACGGGTTCGCCTCCATGTCCACCGTGACCCCGTGTCCCCACGGTGACCCTGTGACCCCAGGGTGACCCCGTGTTCCCACGGTGACCCCGTGTCCCAACGGTGACCCTGTGACCCCACGGTGACCCTGTGACCCCACGGTGACCCTGTGACCCCACGGTGACCCTGTGTCCCCACCGTGACCCTGTGACCCCACGGTGACCCCCGTGTCCATCGTGACCCTGTGACCCCCACTCACCGGTAGCGGTTGCGGAGGTGACCCAGGCGGTTGGCAGTGACCGGGTCCACGGGCGCCGTGCCGCACCTAGCACGCGGCAGGGTTCAACACAGGGTCAGGGATGGGTTTATAGAATCAGGAATAAGAGTTGGGTACAGGGTTAGGATCAGCGATAGGCTTATGGTTAAGGAGAGGGCTAGGTTTAGGGGTATTCGTGTTAAGGACAGGATTAGGGTAGTGTGAGAAGTAGTGGGGGTTAGAGGCCGACCGAAACTGAATTTCTGGTCTCAGTCAAAACCCAAACCAGACCGAAAGTAAAAATTTACTTTCGGCCAAAACCGAAAGGTTTATAACCGAAGTTACTGAACACAAGATTTATAAACTACTAGCTTTACTACCTGGCTTCGCTCGGGACTTAGATTCACCACGGCCGGCCGCCTTTGTCTCCCCAGTGGCGATGTTGACATACCACACCACTTACTCGTTTGAGGCTGAGTCTACCTAGGGGAGGCCCAGGACCGGTTCAAATAATCGTCACCGGCCGTGAGCGGGAATCGAACTCGGGCCGCCGGGTTCGTAGCGCAGCGCGCCAATCGCTACGCAGTCGCTGCCCCCCACCCCCCACCCCAGGTGGTGACGTCATTTATTGACGGGCCCAGCCCATTGGTTGCGGCTGTAACCTCGCTCGTAAGCTGCTGCTGCTGCTGACGTATATGTGTGTACGTGTGTGTATGTGTGTACGTATGTGTGTACGCGTGTGTATGTGTGTGTGTACGTGTGTGCATGTGTGTGTGTGTGTACGTATATATGTGTGTACGTGTGTGTGTACGTGTGTGTGAACAAAAGAATGAAGGGGGCGTGGGAGCGCGGCGGTGAGGTGTGGGAAGCTGTAAGCCCCAGGCTACTTTGGGCTCGCCTTCCCATCAACCGGAGGCGAGGAATGGTGGTCGTGGTTACTTATGCCCCCACCGAAGATGAACATCCGTGGAGGGATGCAGGCAAAGCCGATGAGTCAGATGCATTCTATGACCTCCTGTCACAGGTGCTGGCTAAAGTGGCCCCTCGGGATAGAGTCATCATGTTGGGTGACTTCAATGCCCGAGTTGGTCATGATGCTGGCACCTGGTCTGGAGTGATTGGAGGGCATGGGCCAGATCAGCTCAATAACAACGGTAGGAGGCTGCTAGATTTTTGTGCAGCCATGGGCTTGTAATTACCAACACGCTGTTCCGGCATTGGCACATCCACACAACATCATGGATACATGCCGGGTCCAAGCAAGAACATCTGCTGGACTACATAGTGACGGACCAGCGGATGCGAGCCCATGTCCTTGACACCAGGACCTACCGTGGAGCTGATCTGCCCTCTGACCATCGACTAGTCATCTGTAAGATGCGCCTGCCATTCTTCCACTCTGGTGGTGGACCCCATTCCAACCTAAAGTGGCCTGGTCTCAGTTATCTGATGAAAGTTGCAAGCGAGAATTTCATCATCGCTTGCGGCTGGGATTGGCATCGTCCCCGACTCCTCCTGATGTCGAGGGTAAATGGGCGAGGTTTAGGACTGTGGCTCATGCAGCTGCAATGGCTGCTTTGGGTACGCGGTCCAGACCTCCCCAGAGACCCTGGCTGACAGAGGAGGTGTTCAGGATGGTTGAGAAAAAGCGACAGGCCCACTGTCATCGGCTACAGAATCCTACGTCAGAGAATGAGGAGGCTTACCGCAGCCTTCGCTCGGAGGTTCGGAGAGCCGTGAGGCGCTGCAAGGATGGGTGGTGGTCGCGGGTTGCTGAGGAGATGGAGTCTGCCTCAGTGGCCCATGATCACAAATCTCTATTTAACTCCATCAAAAAAGTAACCTGCAGCACCACACCTATTACAATCATTAGGGGAAAAAACGGTGATCCAATCTCCGACGCCCAGGAACAGGTTTGCAGATTTGCTGAGCATTTCTGTGAGGTCCTAGGGGAGGGAAAATCCCTCATCCAGGAATACATCGTGGCACAAACTAAGGATGACCCTGCTGAGGCTGCGGTGCCTCAAATATTGGAAGAAGTCACCCCCTGTGAGTGGCTGGCTGAGGTGCCATCTGTTGAGGAAGTACTGAAGGCAATCCGGATTCTGAGACCAGGAAAGGCAGCGGGCAGAGATGATCTCCCAAGCGAAATGCTGAGGGAGGGTGGCGTTTGTGCACAGAATGCCCTATATGACATCATAACAACAGTCTGGACCACTGGACGGGTTCCGCAGGATTGGAAGGATGCCCTGGCGGTCCCCCTTTTTAAGAAGGGGGACCGCACAGACTGTAACAACTACAGGGGCATTTCACTCCTCAGTGTGCCGGGAAAGGTCCTGGCAAGGATTATTCAGCATCGCCTTGCCAGGCACGCTGAGGAGAGGCTTGCGGAGCCCCAATGCGGTTTCAGGAAAGGGCGGTCCTGCACAGATGCCATATTTTCTGTCCGTCTGCTACAGCAGAGGTGTAGGGAAATCCAACAAGACCTACATCTCTGCTTTATTGACCTGGTCAAGGCCTATGATACCATCAGTAGGCCTGGGCTCTGGGTTGTTCTTCGTGCTTTTGGTGTACCTGACTCTCTGCTCACGATCATTAAGAACCTTCATGATGGTGAGCGGGCCCGGGTAAAACTACGTGGTCGGGAGTCAGAGCCATTCCCTGTACACCTTGGGGTGCGACAGGGATGTCCTCTGGCTCCCACATTATTTGACATCTATTTTGACCACGTAGTTCGTGAAGCCTTCAATAGCTGTACCGGGGGAATCTCCATATGGTACAGATATAATGGGAGGCTGATCGATGCCCGGGTGCGGTCAAGGGATGGCTCCCTATTGCTCAACCACGTTATGTATGCTGATGATTTGGTAATAGCTGCTCATTCAGAGGAGGAGTTGGAGGCGCTGCTGCTGAGACTGGAGCGTGCCACTAAGAGGTGGGGCCTTACCATTAGCCCCACCAAAACTAAGCACCTGCCTGGGTATTTTGTACCATCGGACACTCCACCCCCACAACTCTCAATCGGTGATGGGGCAGTTGTGGAGCGAGTGGAGAGTTTCCCATACCTGGGCAGTGTGCTTATGACCGGCTCCAGTTTAACAGCAGAGGTCTCACTCCGAATCAGTCGAGCGGCAATATCTTTTCATCGGTTGCGTAACGCTGTGTGGAAGCTACCTGGTCTGTCGCTCCGCACAAAACTTCAGGTCTTCTCGGCCACAGTCATTCCCTTCCTTCTCTACGCTTGCGAAACGTGGACCCCCCTAATGGAACATCTTCGCCGGTTGAAAACATTTAGGCTGGCCTGCCTACGATCCATCCTGGGTTTAACCAGACTGGATTGTGTGAGGAGCTCACAAATCCTTGAAAGATCTGGGCAGGGTCCCATCGGTGAGCTCCTCCGGCGGGGAAGGCTGCGATGGCTGGGTCATGTAGCCCGCATGCCCAGCCAACGCATGCCGAAACAGCTTTTGTTCGGCCGCATTGAGGGGGCTAAGCGGGCACGGCACAGGCTAGAGAAGAGATGGAGTGATGTGGTACAGGAGGACGTGGAGCTGAGTGGACTTGCCGATGGCTGGTACCAGCGGTGTCAAGATCGGCCTCTGTGGAGGAGACTCGTGAAGGACGCTACTGGGCAGTTGGAGGCAGTCGCCCTCCAACAACAACGGAGGGCGGAGGAGCGACGCTCACAACAACGAGCGGAGCGCCGGGTGGCTAAAGCACAGCCGGTTGCCACAGTAGGGGGCACAGGTGGTGCATCAGCTAGTCATCTCAGTCAGTCGACCCGTGGCACCTGGGTCTGCCCCGTGACCTCCTGCCAGCGGGCGTTCGACACTTCACGTGGCCTCAGGGTGCACATAGCCTGGCACAAGCGCCGTGGTGACGTCACCGCCACTTAGTGGCGAATGGCGGTTGTTGTTGTTGTATGTGTGTACGTATGTGTATGTATGTGTGTACGTGTGTGTATGTGTGTACGTGTGTGTGTACGTGTGTGTATATGTGTGTGTATGCATGTATGTGTGTATGTGTGTGTATGCGTGTATGTGTGTACGTGTGTGTATGCGTGTATATGTGTGTGTATGTGTGTATGTATGTACGTGTGTGCGTATGTGTGTGTGTATGTGTGTACGTGTGTATGTGTGTACGTGTGTGTGTGTGTGTATGCAGCCTATCGTATAGGATTGCCTAGCGCCGACGGACCGGCTGATAGACTTAGCACGAGCGTAATATTCTAAAAATAGATCTTCGGTTGACAACCGAAAGTGAATATCAGTTTCGGCCGAAATCGAAAGTAAAAAATTGACTTTTGGTCGAAATCGAAAGTATGCCGAAAGTGGCCATTTGCCAACTTTCGGCGCCGAAACTGAAACCGAATTTCGGTCGGCCTCTAGTAGGGGTAGTGTAAGTATCAGAGGCAACAGGGTTAGTGTCAGGGTATGTGCATTGGTAGTATAAGGATGAGCAGCGTTGGTGTTAGGGAATAGTGTTAGGGATAGCATTCGTAGTACTGTCGTATTAGTAGTGTTAGTGTAGTAGTAGTGTTAGTGTAGTAGTGTTAGTGTAGTAGTAGTGTTAGTGTAGTAGTAGTGTTAGTGTAGTAGTGTTAGTGTAGTGTTAGTGTAGTAGTAGTGTTAGTGTAGTAGTGTTAGTGTAGTAGAAGTGTTAGTGTAGTAGTAGTGTTAGTGTAGTAGTGTTAGTGTGGTAGTTGTGTTAGTGTAGTAGTAGTGTTAGTGTAGTAGTGTTAGTGTGGTAGTCGTGTTAGTGTAGTAGTAGTGTTAGTGTAGTAGTGTTAGTGTAGTAGTAGTGTTAGTGTAGTAGTGTTAGTGTAGTAGTAGTGTTTGTGTAGTAGTGTTAGTGTAGTAGTAGTGTTAGTGTAGTAGTAGTAGTGTTAGTGTAGTGTTAGTGTAGTAGTAGTGTTAGTGTAGTAGTGTTAGTGTAGTAATAGTGTTAGTGTAGTAGTGTTAGTATGGTAGTCGTGTTAGTGTAGTAGTGTTAGTGTAGTAGTAGTGTTAGTGTAGTAGTAGTGTAGTAGTAGTGTAGTAGTAGTAGTGTTAGTGTAGTAGTAGTGTTAGTGTAGTAGTAGTGTAGTAGTGTTAGTGTAGTAGCAGTGTAGTAGTAGTGTTAGTGTAGTAGTAGTGTTAGTGTAGTAGTAGTGTTAGTGTAGTAGTGTTAGTGTAGTAGTGTTAGTGTAGTAGTAGTGTTAGTCTAGTAGTAGTGTTAGTGTAGTAGTAGTGTAGTAGTAGTGTTAGTGTAGTAGTAGTAGTGTTAGTGTAGTAGTAGTGTAGTAGTAGTGTTAGTGTAGTAGTAGTGTAGTGTTAGTGTCGCAGTAGTGTAGTAGTAGTGTTAGTGTACTAGTAGTGTAGTAGTAGTGTAATAGTAGTGTAGTGTTAGTGTAGTAGTGTAGTAGTGTTAGTGTAGTAGTAGTGTAGTAGTAGTGTTAGTGTAGTAGTAGTGTTAGTGTAGTAGTAGTAGTGTTAGTGTAGTAGTAGTGTAGTAGTAGTGTTAGTGTAGTAATAGTAGTGTTAGTGTAGTAGTAGTGTAGTAGTAGTGTTAGTGTAGTAGTAGTGTAGTAGTAGTGTTAGTGTAGTAGTAGTGTAGTAGTAGTGTTAGTGTAGTAGTAGTGTTAGTGTAGTAGCATTAGTGTAGTAGTAGTGTTAGTCTAGTAGTAGTGTTAGTGTAGTAGTAGTGTAGTAGTAGTGTTAGTGTAGTAGTAGTAGTGTTAGTGTAGTAGTAGTGTAGTAGTAGTGTTAGTGTAGTAGTAGTGTAGTGTTAGTGTAGTAGTAGTGTAGTAGTAGTGTTAGTGTAGTAGTAGTGTAGTAGTAGTGTTAGTGTAGTAGTAGTATAGTAGTAGTGTTAGTGTAGTAGTAGTGTAGTGTTAGTGTAGTAGTAGTGTAGTAGTAGTGTTATTGTAGTAGTAGTAGTGTTAGTGTAGTAGTAGTGTAGTAGTAGTAGTAGTGTGAATGTAGTAGTAGTGTTAGTGTAGTAGTAGTGTTAGTGTAGTAGTTGTGTAGTAGTAGTGGTAGTGTAGTAGTAGTGTTAGTGTAGTAGTAGTAGTGTTAGTGTAGTAGTAGTGTAGTAGTAGTGTTGGTGTAGTAGTAATGTTAGTGTAGTAGTAGTGTAGTAGTAGTGTTAGTGTAGTAGTAGTGTAGTAGTAGTGTTAGTGTAGTAGTAGTGTAGTGTTAGTGTAGTAGTAGTGTAGTAGTAGTGTTAGTGTAGTAGTAGTGTAGTAGTAGTGTAGTAGTAGTGTTATTGTAGTAGTAGTGTAGTAGTAGTGTGAATGTAGTAGTAGTAGTAGTGTTAGTGTAGTAGTAGTGTTAGTGTAGTAGTAGTGTTAGTGTAGTAGTAGTGTAGTAGTAGTGTTAGTGTAGTAGTAGTGTAGTGTTAGTGTCGCAGTAGTGTAGTAGTAGTGTTAGTGTACTAGTGTTGTAGTAGTAGTGTAGTAGTAGTGTAGTGTTAGTGTAGTAGTAGTGTAGTAGTGTTAGTGTAGTAGTGTAGTAGTAGTGTTAGTGTAGTAGTAGTGTGAATGTAGTAGTAGTAGTGTTAGTGTAGTAGTAGTAGTGTTAGTGTAGTAGTAGTGTAGTAGTAGTGTTAGTGTAGTAATAGTAGTGTTAGTGTAGTAGTAGTGTAGTAGTAGTGTTAGTGTAGTAGTAGTGTAGTAGTAGTGTTAGTGTAGTAGTAGTCTTAGTGTAGTAGTAGTAGTGTTAGTGTAGTAGCATTAGTGTAGTAGTAGTGTTAGTCTAGTAGTAGTGTTAGTGTAGTAGTAGTGTAGTAGTAGTGTTAGTGTAGTAGTAGTGTTAGTGTAGTAGTGTTAGTGTAGTAGTAGTAGTGTTAGTGTAGTAGTAGTGTAGTAGTAGTGTTAGTGTAGTAGTAGTGTAGTGTTAGTGTAGTAGTAGTGTAGTAGTAGTGTAGTAGTAGTGTAGTAGTAGTGTAGTAGTAGTGTTAGTGTAGTAGTAGTATAGTAGTAGTGTTAGTGTAGTAGTAGTGTAGTGTTAGTGTAGTAGTAGTGTAGTAGTAGTGTTATTGTAGTAGTAGTAGTGTTAGTGTAGTAGTAGTGTAGTAGTAGTAGTGTGAATGTAGTAGTAGTGTTAGTGTAGTAGTAGTGTTAGTGTAGTAGTTGTGTAGTAGTAGTGTTAGTGTAGTAGTAGTGTTAGTGTAGTAGTGTGAATATAGTAGTGTTAGTGTAGTAGTAGTGTTAGTGTAGTAGTAGTAGTGTTAGTGTAGTAGTAGTGTAGTAGTAGTGTTGGTGTAGTAGTAATGTTAGTGTAGTAGTAGTGTAGTAGTAGTGTTAGTGTAGTAGTAGTGTAGTAGTAGTGTTAGTGTAGTAGTAGTGTAGTGTTAGTGTAGTAGTAGTGTAGTAGTAGTGTTAGTGTAGTAGTAGTGTAGTGTTAGTGTAGTAGTAGTGTAGTAGTAGTGTTATTGTAGTAGTAGTAGTGTAGTAGTAGTGTAGTAGTGTGAATGTAGTAGTAGTAGTGTTAGTGTAGTAGTAGTGTTAGTGTAGTAGTGTGAATGTAATAGTAGTGTTAGTGTAGTAGTAGTGTAGTAGTAGTGTAGTTGTGTTAGTGTAGTAGTGTTAGTGTAGTAGTAGTGTAGTAGTAGTGTAGTTGTGTTAGTGTAGTAGTGTTAGTGTAGTAGTAGTGTTAGTGTAGTAGTAGTGTGAATGTAGTAGTAGTGTTAGTGTAGTAGTAGTGTAGTAGTAGTGTTAGTGTAGTAGTAGTGTTAGTGTAGTAGTAGTGTAGTAGTAGTGTTAGTGTAGTAGCGTTAGTGTAGTAGTAGTGTTAGTCTAGTAGTAGTGTTAGTGTAGTAGTAGTGTTAGTGTAGTAGTAGTGTTAGTGTAGTAGTAGTGTAGTAGTAGTGTTAGTGTAGTAGTAGTGTAGTAGTAGTGTAGTGTTAGTGTAGTAGTAGTGTAGTAGTAGTGTTAGTGTAGTAGTAGTAGTGTTAGTGTAGTAGTAGTGTGAATGTAGTAGTAGTGTTAGTGTAGTAGTAGTAGTGTTAGTGTAGTAGTAGTGTTAGTGTAGTAGTAGTGTTAGTGTAGTAGTAGTGTTAGTGTAGTGTTAGTGTAGTAGTGTTAGTGTAGTAGTAGTAATGTTAGTGTAGTGTTAGTGTAGTGTTAGTGTAGTAGTAGTGTTAGTGTAGTAGTAGTGTTAGTGTAGTGTTAGTGTAGTAGTGTTAGTGTAGTAGTAGTAATGTTAGTGTAGTGTTAGTGTAGTGTTAGTGTAGTAGTAGTGTTAGTGTAGTAGTAGTGTTAGTGTAGTGTTAGTGTAGTAGTGTTAGTGTAGTAGTAGTAATGTTAGTGTAGTGTTAGTGTAGTGTTAGTGTAGTAGTAGTGTTAGTGTAGTAGTAGTGTTAGTGTAGTAGTGTTAGTGTAGTAGTAGTAGTGTTAGTGTAGTAGTAGTGTGAATGTAGTAGTAGTGTTAGTGTAGTGTTAGTGTAGTAGTAGTGTTAGTGTAGTAGTAGTGTTAGTGTAGTGTTGGTGTAGTAGTGTTAGTGTAGTAGTAGTAGTGTTAGTGTAGTGTTAGTGTAGTGTTAGAGTAGTAGTAGTGTTAGTGTAGTAGTAGTGTTAGTGTAGTAGTGTTAGTGTAGTAGTAGTAGTGTTAGTGTAGTAGTAGTGTGAATGTAGTAGTAGTGTTAGTGTAGTAGTAGTGTTAGTGTAGTAGTAGTGTTAGTGTAGTAGTAGTGTAGTAGTAGTGTTAGTGTAGTGATAGTGTAGTGTTAGTGTAGTGTTAGTGTAGTAGTAGTGTTAGTGTAGTAGTGTTAGTGTAGTAGTAGTGTAGTAGTAGTGTTAGTGTAGTAGTAGTGTTAGTGTAGTAGTGTTAGTGTAGTAGTGTTAGTGTAGTGTAGTAGTAGTGTTGGGGTGGGGGTCACGCCACCCGCCCCCTACCGCATGCGGCTGATGAAGGAGCGCCGTGAGCCCATGCACATGCGCATGGACGACTGCTGCCCCTCCTTCTTCACCGTTCCCGTCTTCAGGTCCAGGATGCGGCCTAAGCAACAGCACGGGGAGGGGGCCGGTGGGGGGGATGGCATGGGAGGGGGTTACTCCTGAACCCCCCTCAGTCACTCCCCTGGCCACCCGCAGACGACGACCCCTTTGTTGTCCCTTGGCTGTCCCCTCCCTGGGCATCCTTGGTTACCCCAAAGGAACCCCCCATCCCGGGGAGCCACCACGACCACCCCTAAATTTACCCCCCCCCCCACCCCCCATGTCCTCTCAGCTGCCCCCCACCCCCCGGCCGATACGCTCGAGGTACCATCACCGAGGTGTGGGTTTGCGTAGCGTCTAGCACACGGCCGCAGGTCAAGCGCGCGGTGCGCGGCACGCCCAGGGTGTGACGGCTACACCGTGCGCTCGAGAGGGGGCCAGCAGAGCAGAAGGAGCGACCCCCCACTGAGCAGAGATTGACTGGGAGGGCTTCAGAATTGGACGTTGCCCCGCTGGATCGTTCTGGCTACCTGCTTCGAGACTCCCCTCTGGCTGCCTGCGTCCGAAACCCCACGGCGTCCCCGGTCACTTCGCAATCAGAATGTTTCCCAGAGGTGTCCAGTTGGGGCGGGTCACTTTCACCCTTGACCCCGACGGTCTCCCTCCTGCCACTACCCCCTGCGTGTTGGGGGGGGATCCGGCGTCGACAAGGGGACGACTCGCTCTGCCCGCCGGCGGCGACGAGGCCGTGAATCCCGCGTTCATTGTTTCAGTCGCATCGCCTCTGCGCATTGGCTGCGCCGGCACGTGTTTGTGCATAGAGACAAAGGTCCCCCAGGCCGGCCTCTAAAGACCGTTAGGACAAGTGCCCCCGGCGAGCGCCTATCAAGGGGCCGGCGTTGCCGCACGAACCCGGTTCGTGGGGAGGGAGGGGGTGGATCAGCACCGCCGTACCCAAGCCGCCTTTGTCTCCCCCGGCGCTCGCGCTTCGCACCGCGGCACTGGCCGACCGAGTCCGCCTGGGCTGTCACTCGCCGCTGACGAGAGCCGGGGAAACGAACCCTGGCCGCTTGGGTTCGCGGTGTGGTGGCGCTGAACCAGCGTGCCACCGCTCCCCGCATACTCGACGTGCGTGTAGACGTAGTGCGCACGTGCCGCAGGCGCGTGCACAACACAACTAACATGCGTGTCAGGTTTATGTTTTTAAACCTTCACCAAATTCATTGCAACCGCGCTGTGCGCAGTGACGGCACGAGACCAGTTTCCGTTCGAAAACCTCTCACGGTCAGCGAGCGCTGCGTCACCCCGTGTTGAGAACGGTCCGCTGAAGGAGATATCGCAGAACTACTGCTGACATCTCGAGTGACCTCCTCGTTTACTCACTCCGGGGTGGGGGGGTGGGGGGGTGGGGGCGGTGTTAATTGTAATAATAATAATAAAAACTTTCTCAGAGCTCGAATTTTTGCAAAATTTTAGTGAACAAACTTTTAACGTGACGTGGTATTTTGTGCAGTAATTGTAGTGGTGGTGTCACACACACATAGGTAATTATGTGTGTGTGTACGGGTGTGTGGGTGTAAGCGTGTGTGTGTGTAAGTATGGGTATGCGGTGGTGGTGTCACAACCAGCGGTGGTGTGTAGCTGTGCGGGTGTGTGCGTGTGTGCGGGTATGTGTGTGTTTGTGCGTGTGTGTGTGCGGGTGTGTGTGTGTGCGGGTGGGTGTGTGTGCGGGTGGGTGTGTGTGCGGGTGTGTGTGTGCGGGTATGTGTGTGTGTTTGTGCGTGTGTGTGCGGGTGTGTGCGTGTGTGTGTGTGCGGGTGTGTGTGTGTGTGCGGGTGTGTGTGTGTGTGCGAATGTGTGCGGGTGTGTGTGTGTTTTTGTGCGTGTGTGTGCGGGTGTGTGCGTGTGTGTGTGTGCGAATGTGTGCGGGTGTGTGTGTGTGCGGGTGTGTGTGTGTGTGTGTGCGTGTGTGTGTGTGCGGGTGTGTGTGTGTGCGGGTATGTGTGTGTGTTTGTGCGTGTGTGTGCGGGTGTGTGCGTGTGTGTGTGTGTGCGAGTGTGTGCGGATGTGTGTGCGTGTGCGAGAGTGTGTGTGTGCGGGTGGGTGTGTGTGTGGGTGTGTGTGTGGGGGGTGTGTGCGTGTGTGTGCGGATGTGTGCGTGTGCAGGTGTGTGTGTGTGTGTGCGGGTGTGTGCGTGCGGGTGTGTGTGTGCGGGTGTGTGTGTGTGCGGGTGTGTGTGTGTGTGCGGGTGTGTGCGTGTGCGTGTGTGTGCGGGTGTGTGTGTGCGGGTGTGTGTGTGCGGGTGTGTGTGTGCGGGTGTATGTGTGCGGGTGTGTGTGTGCGGGTGTGTGTGTGTGTGCGGGTGTGTGTGTGGGTGTATGTAGGTGCGGGTGTGTGTGTGTGGTGGTATCACACACAGGCAGGCAGGCCCAGGCAGGGTGATTGGTTTGTCCGTCCGTCTGCCCACGCGTGCCACACCCGACACAAACACCCACGCACACCGTCACACGCACACCCCGCACAGAGGCACAGATCCAGTATCCCCCCCCCGCCCCTACTAGAACCGTAGTGCAGAGTGTTGGGGCCTGAATGGCGTTGTTGAGGCCTCACAACATCACCCCCTTGTGAGGCACCAGACAGGCCTTCTCAGAGGCTCACATCCCGTATATAGACACACAAAACAAAGATCCCCCATATAGCCTGTAACAGACTGTTGGGGCAAGTGCTGTTAGCGAGCACCTATTAAGGCCGAAACGGTACACGAGGGGGTGGGTGGCCAGCACCACGCCCGACCGCCTTTGTCTCCCCAGTGGTGATGTTTACACACCGCACCAGGTACTCATTTGAGGCTGAGTCGACCTAGGGGAGGCCCAGGACCGGTCCAGATAATCGTCACCGGTGTTGGCCGTGAGCGGGAATCGAACTCGGGTCGCCGGGTTCATAGCGCAGCGTAGCGCTAACCGCTACACTACCGTATAGGTGTGTGTGTGTCTGTGTACACACACACACCTATACACACACCTATACACACACCTATACACACACCTATACACGCACACCTGTACACACACACCCATACCTGTACACAAACGCACACACCTATACACACACGCACACCTATACATACCCGGTATACACACGCACCTAACATACCAACCTATACACACATACACCTATACACACTGACCTATACACGCACACTTAAATACCTATACACACACACCCGGTATATATACACACACCCCGCACACAGCGAGACCATCATGCACAACGCACGACATTATCCCCCCCCCCCACCTCTTGTTTCCATCAGTATTTGTCCGATGGAGAGACTCGCCCCCGCCATAGGAACGTGTAATCTTCTGCACTGGGTCGGGGCCGTACACAGGAGATAGCCACCGCCTCGACGGTCGTGTGATGAAATCACTTTGGCTTTTCATCTTTCCCATTATCCCTTCGTCCCTCCACCCCTCCACTCCCTCTCCGCAGTGATCCGTGCATGGCTCCCTCTCCCATCCCTCCTCCACTCCAATCCCCTACTCTTTGGGTCTTTCGGTAAAGTCACGTAAGTAGACAAATAATAGATCGCTTCAATACCCCCCTCTGCTCCTCATCCCCTCCCTCCCTCCCTCGTCTCCCTCCCTCCCAGTCTGACCCGTTTACCTCCTCCTCCATCCCCCCCCCCGGGTGAGGAATGCGCCCTAATGAGTGGGATTCTTGGAAAGCGGCGGCGTTCGGCTCGGCGCGGCGTTGCGGCCCCGCGATTCCGGGAACCCTTCGCTCCGCGCTGCTCGGGATTATTTTGTGTCTTTTTGTCGGGCCACATTTCTTGGGCGGTTTCCTCCAATTCTCCCTCCCCCGCCCCGTCTTGATTATTTTTGTCTTGCGGCGAAAAGATGAGAGAGGGAGCGGGAGTGTGAGACAGGGAGAGTGAGACAGGGAGAGTGAGACAGGGGGTGTGAGACAGGGAGTGTGAGACAGGGAGTGTGAGACAGGGAGAGTGAGACAGGGAGTGTGAGACAGGGAGTGTGAGACAGGGAGTGTGAGACAGGGAGAGTGAGACAGGGAGTGTGAGACAGGGAGAGTGAGACAGGGAGTGTGAGACAGGGAGTGTGAGACAGGGAGTGTGAGACAGGGAGAGTGAGACAGGGAGTGTGAGACAGGGAGAGTGAGACAGGGAGTGTGAGACAGGGAGTGTGAGACAGGGAGAGTGAGACAGGGAGTGTGAGACAGGGAGTGTGAGACAGGGAGAGTGAGACAGGGAGAGTGAGACAGGGAGAGGGAGCGGGAGTGTGAGACAGGGAGAGTGAGACAGGGGGTGTGAGTCAGGGAGTGTGAGACAGGGAGTGTGAGACAGGAAGAGAGAGACAGGGAATGTGAGACAGGGAGAGTGAGACAGGGAGAGTGAGACAGGGAGAGTGAGACAGGGAGTGTGAGACGGGAGAGTGAGACAGGGAGTGTGAGACAGGGAGTGTGAGACAGGGAGTGTGAGACAGGGAGTGTGACACAGGGAGTGTGAGACAGGGAGAGTGAGACAGGGAGAGTGAGACAGGGAGAGTGAGACAGGGAGTGTGAGACAGAGAGTGTGAGACAGGGAGTGTGAGACAGGGAGTGTGAGACAGGGAGTGTGACACAGGGAGTGTGAGACAGGGAGAGTGAGACAGGGAGAGTGAGACAGGGAGTGTGAGACAGGGAGAGTGAGACAGGGAGTGTGAGACAGGGAGTGTGAGACAGGGAGAGTGAGACAGGGAGAGTGAGACAGGGAGTGTGAGACAGGGAGAGTGAGACAGGGAATGTGAGACAGGGAGAGTGAGACAGGGAGAGTGAGACAGGGAGAGTGAGACAGGGAGAGTGAGACAGGGAGTGTGAGACAGGGAGTGTGAGACAGGGAGAGTGAGACAGGGAGAGTGAGACAGGGAGAGTGAGACAGGGAGTGTGAGACAGGGAGTGTGAGACAGGGAGAGTGAGACAGGGAGAGTGAGACAGGGAGAGTGAGACAGGGAGTGTGAGACAGGGAGAGTGAGACAGGGAGAGTGAGACAGGGAGAGTGAGACAGGGAGAGTGAGACAGGGAGTGTGAGACAGGGAGTATGAGACAGGGAGAGTGAGACAGGGAGTGTGAGACAGGGAGTGTGAGCCAGGGGGTGTGAGCCAGGGAGTGTGAGACAGGGAGTGTGAGACAGGGAGTGTGAGACAGAGAGTGTGAGACAGGGAGTGTGAGACAGGGAGAGTGAGACAGGGAGTGTGAGACAGGGAGTGTGAGACAGGGAGTGTGAGACAGGGAGAGTGAGACAGGGAGTGTGAGACAGGGAGTGTGAGACAGGGAGTGTGAGACAGGGAGTGTGAGACAGGGAGAGTGAGACAGGGAGTGTGAGACAGAGTGTGAGACAGGGAGTGTGAGACAGGGGGTGTGAGACAGGCAGTGTGAGACAGGGAGTGTGAGACAGGGAGTGTGAGACAGGGGGTGTGAGACAGGGAGTGTGAGACAGGGAGTGTGAGACAGGGAGTGTGAGACAGGGAGTGTGAGACAGGGAGAGTGAGACAGGGAGAGTGAGACAGGGAGTGTGAGACAGGGAGTGTGAGACAGGGAGTGTGAGACAGGGAGTGTGAGACAGGGAGAGTGAGACAGGGAGTGTGAGACAGGGAGTGTGAGACAGGGAGTGTGAGACAGGGAGAGTGAGACAGGGAGTGTGAGACAGGGAGAGTGAGACAGGGAGTGTGAGACAGGGAGAGTGAGACAGGGAGAGTGAGACAGAGAGTGTGAGACAGGGAGTGTGAGACAGGCAAAAGCTCAGGGAAGGAAGGAAGGGGATGGGGGTTTGGGGTTCATGCGCGTGTGCGCGCGTCTGTCTGCAAGCGATGTGATGAGGATGCCCTCTAGCGCCCACTCCTCACTCCGCACTTCGTCGCCTCACTCGCCTCGCGACTCCCTTCGGGCCACTATTCCGTGCCGGGCAGTGTCTTCCATCCCCTTTTCAGCCGGAAGCCGGCAAACGCTCCCTCGCTCAAGACGTTGGACAGGGCTTCTTCTCGAGCCGTCAAACGTCTCACCACCACTGGGCGAGTTTGGAGAGTCCCACTGCACGCACACGGTGAGCTTGGCTCTTCATTTGCGACCCTGACGTTGTCAGCGGCGAGGAGATCCCATGAGAGCAGGCGAACTGAGCGCGGCAAACCGGGAGCGAGACGACTCAACACGCAGGCGACGCGCGGCAGCGTGGCACGGGCTCAAGCTCTCAGTCCTTGTCCAGACCACGGGCTCAAGAGAACTGAACGTGTGGCCACCGAGGTAGGGAGTTGAGGCGGTGTGGCCACGGGCTGGTTGGTGAATTCATCAACAATAGCTTCATGACTCGTTACCTCCCTCCACTCCCCCCCTCACGCCCAACTTCCTCCCTCCAGCCCCGACTCCCTCCGAGGCTGCCCTGTTTACCCCTCCGCTAGTTCTCACTTCTTCCCACAAAGGCAAAGATATAACCTTTAACAGACTGTAGGGACAAGTGCTGTTAGCGAGCACCTATGAAGGCCGTCACTGTACACGAGGGGGTGGGTGGCCAGCACCACGCCCGACCGTCTTTGTCTCCCCAGTGGCGATATTCACACACCGCACCAGGTACTCATTTGAGGCCGAGTCGATCTTAGGGGAACGCCGAGGACCCGGTTCAGATAATCGTCACCGGTGTTGGCCGTGAGCGGTAATCGAACCCGGCTTCAAGAGCGGGTGGCGCGCTAACCGCTGCGCCACCGCTCCCCACTCCCTTCCCTCCCCGCCCCCCGCGGCTCCCGTGGCCCGGTCCCTTGGCGCGCGCGCCGTACCCGTCATGGCGCTCTCCGAGGTGCTGAGCTGCTCGCGGAGTTTGTCGACGTCGTCGGGGTGAGTCTGGTCGTAGAGAGTGCCGCCAAACCACTCGGACTGCGGCTGGTTCAGCACGGGCGTCACCGAGTCCGACACGAAGATGATCCGCCCCGTCTCGCACGCCGCCACGAACAGGAAGCCGTCGGCCGCCTCCAGGATCAGGTGCTTCAGCTCCTGCGGGCCGGCGAGGAGGTGGGGGGGGTGCATGGGACACGGGGACACAGGGAGCACACGAGGCAGAGGACGTGGAACACAGAGGACATGGTAGACAAACAACGGGGCACAGAACACAGAGCACGGAATGTACACAATATGGGACATACCACGGAGACAGGACACAGAACATAAGGGACTTGGGATATGGAAGACACGGGACACCTATGGGATACATGGGCTAGATGTCGTGGGGACATGTCTGTAGTGTGAGGCCAGTAGACACGCACACACCTGGCTGGGGGCACGTGCGTGCGTGCGACGGGGATGTGTGGGTGGCGGGCGTAGCACACAAAGACAAAGATTCTCCGTCTAGTTTTAACAGACTGCTGGGGCAAGTGCTGTTAGCGAGCACCTATTAAGGCCGGCACGGTACACGAGTGAGTGGGTGGCCAGCACCACGCCCGACAACCTTCGTCTTCCCAGTGACGATGATTTTACAAACCGCACCAGGTACTCATTTGAGGCTGAGTCGACCTAGGGGAGGCCCAGGACCCGATTCAGACAATATCGGGTTCGCCGGGTTCGTAGCGCAGCGCACCGACCGCCAACGCTGCCGCTCTCCGCTCACGCACACACACGCACGTACACACACACACACACTCACGCACGCACACACACACGCGCGCACACACACACGCACGCGCGCACGCACACACACGCGCGCACACACGCACACACACACACGCACACACACACGCACACACACACGCGCGCACGCACACACACACACGCACACACACACGCACGCACACGCACGTACACACACACACACACGCACACACACACACGCACGCACCTGATCGGTGAGGAAGGAGGGCTTGTAGGCGCCCTCCGTGGGAGTGTTGCCCGTGCCGCGCAGCGACTTCATGTGCGACACGGCCATGCGCAGGATGGTGAGCTTGTCGGGCTTGCGCGCGAGAGCGCTGCACGTGGGCACCATGTCGCACAGCTCCGTGATGTACGCCGTCATCTTGTTCCGACGCCGCCGCTCGATCTCGCTGTGATTCTCCCTGGGCGGGAGGGGGCGGGTGGCGGGGTTTGTTTGGGGACGGGGAGGAGGGGAGGGCGGTGGCGGGGGTAGGTGTGGGTTGTGTGGTGTGGGTTGTGTGGTGTGGTGTGGGTTGTGTGGTGTGGGTTGCGTGGTGTGGGTTGCGTGGTGTGGTGTGGGTTGCGTGGTGTGGGTTGTGTGGTGTGGTGTGGGTTGTGTGGTGTGGGTTGTGTGGTGTGGGTTGCGTGGTGTGGGTTGCGTGGTGTGGTGTGGGTTGCGTGGTGTGGGTTGCGTGGTGTGGGTTGCGTGGTGTGGGTTGTGTGGTGTGGGTTGCGTGGTGTGGGTTGTGTGGTGTGGGTTGTGGGTTGTGTTGGTTGTGTGGTGTGGGTTGTGTGGTGTGGTGTGGGTTGCGTGTGGTTGGTTGTGTGGTGTGAGTGTGTGGTGTGGTGTGGGTTGTGTGGTGTAGGTTGTGTGATGTGTGTGTGGTGTGGTTTGCGTGGTGTGGGTTGCGTGGTGTGGGTTGTATGGTGTGGGTTGTGTGGTGTGAGTGTGTGGTGTGGATTGTGTGGTGTGGGTTGGGTGGTGTGGGTTGTGTGGTGTGAGTGTGTGGGGTGGGTTGTGTGGAGTGGGTGTGTGGTGTGGTTGTGTGGTGTGGGTTGTGTGGTGTGAGTGGTGTGGGTTGTGTGGTTGAAGTGATGTGGTGTGGGTTGTGTGGTGTGGGTTGTGTGGTGTGGGTTGTGTGTGTGGTATGTTTTATGTGGTATGTTGTGTGGGGCGTGCATTGTGTGTGTGGTGTTGAGTGGGTTTGTGGTGTGGTTGTGTGGTGTGGGTTGTGTGGTGTGGGTTGTGTGGTGTGAGTGGTGTGGGTTGTGTGGTTGAAGTGGTGTGGTGTGAGTTGTGTGGTGTGGGTTGTGTGGTGTGGGTTGTGTGGTGTGAGTGTATGGGGTGGGTTGTGTGGAGTGGGTGTGTGGTGTGGGTTGTGTGGTGTGGGTTGTGTGTGTGGTATGTTTTACGTGGTATGTTGTGTGGGGCGTGCATTGTGTGTGTGGTGTTGTTGTGTGTGGTGTTGAGTGGGTGTGTGGTGTGGTTGTGTGGTGTGGGTTGTGTGGTGTGGGTTGTGTGGTGTGAGTGGTGTGGGTTGTGTGGTTGAAGTGGTGTGGTGTGGGTTGTGTGGTGTGGGTTGTGTGTGTGGTATGTTTTATGTGGTATGTGTTTGGGGCGTGCATTGTGTGTGTTGTGTTCGTGTGTGTGGTGTGGATTGTGTGTGTGGTGTTGGTGTGTGTGGTGTAGATTTTGTGTGATGTTGGTGTGTGTGGCGTGGATTGTGTGTGTGTAGTGTTGATTGTGTGTGGTGTGTGTGTGTGGTGTTGGTGTATGTGGTGTGGATTGTGTGTGGTGTTGGTGTGTGTGGTGTGGATTGTGTGTGTGGTGTGGATTGTGTGTGTGGTGTCGGTGTGTGTGTGTGGTGTGTGTAGTGTTGGCGGTGTGTGTGTGTGCGGTGTGTGTGTGTAGTGTTGGCGGTGTGTGTGTGTGCGGTGTGTGTGTGTAGTGTTGGCGGTGTGTGTGGTGTGTGTGTGTGTAGTGTTGGCGGTGTGTGTGTGCGGTGTGTGTGTGTGTAGTGTTGGGGGTGCGTGTGTGTGTGCGGTGTGTGTGTGTGTGCGGTGTGTGTGTGTGGTGTGTGGGGGGCGTGTGCATGAATGTGGGGAGGTGAGCAAGGGAAGGCGGCGGTGTGTGTGTGTGCGGTTTTGTGTGTGTAGTGTTGGCGGTGTGTGTGTGCGGTGTGTGTGTGTGTAGTGTTGGCGGTGTGTGTGTGTGTGCGGTGTGTGTGTGTGTGTGCGGTGTGTGTGTAGTGTTGGCGGTGTGTGTGTGTGCGGTGTGTGTGTGTAGTGGTGGCGGTGTGTGTGTGTGCGGTGTGTGTGTGTAGTGTTGGCGGTGTGTGTGTGTGTGGGGTGTGTGTGTAGTGTTGGCGGTGTGTGTGTGTGCGGTGTGTGTGTGTGTGGTGTGTGTGTAGTGTTAGCGGTGTGTGTGTGTGTGCGGTGTGTGTGTGTGTGTGTATGCAGTGTGTGTGTGTGCGGTGTGTGTGTGTAGTGTTGGCGGTGTGTGTGTAGTGTTGGCGGTGTGTGTGTGTAGTGTTGGCGGTGTGTGTGTGTGCGGTGTGGGGGTGTAGTGTTGGCGGTGTGTTTGTGCGGTGTGGGGGTGTAGTGTTGGCGGTGTGTGTGTGCGGTGTGTGTGTGTGTAGTGTTGGCGGTGTGTGTGTGTGCGGTGTGTGTGTGTGTAGTGTTGGCGGTGTGTGTGTGTAGTGTTGGCGGTGTGTGTGTGTGCGGTGTGGGGGTGTAGTGTTGGCGGTGTGTGTGTGCGGTGCGGGGGTGTAGTGTTGGCGGTGTGTGTGTGTGTGTAGTGTTGGCGGTGTGTGTGTGCGCGGTGTGGGGGTGTAGTGTTGGCGGTGTGTGTGTGTGTGTGTATGTGTGTGCGGTGTGTGGTTGTGTGTGTATGTGTATGTGGAGGGAGTGTGTGTATGTGAGGAGGAGAGGGAGGGAAGACGGTGTTGGTGGGTGTGTGGCATAGATGTGTAGTGTGTGTGGTGTGTGTGTGGTGTGTGTGTGGAGGTTGTGTGTGTTTGGAGGTTGTGTGTTCATGATTGTGGAGAGGCAAGGACGGAAGGTTGGCAGCGGTGTGTTTGTGTAGGTTATGCGTAGGGTAGGTAGGTAGGTGTGTGTGTGGTGTGTGTGTATGTAAGGTATGAGGAGGGTAGGTAATGGGAGGAGGGTAATGGCATGGTGTGCATGCGTGTGTGTAGGTGAGTGTGCATGGATGCAGGTAGGATGTTGTTTTGTTTAGAGTGGAGGGCGATGGGTGTATGTGTGTGTGTATTGTGTGTGAGGTGTGTGTGTGTGAGTGTGTATGAGGTGTGGTTAGGTATGTGTGTGTTGTTTGTGTGTGGTGTATGTGTGGGGTGTGGGCTTACGAGATGGGTAGGTATGTGTGTGGTGTGTTGCTTTGTGTGCAGTGAGTGTGTAGGTGTGTGTTTTGTGGTAGAGTGTATGTGCTTGAATGTCAGGGTGTGCACGTGGAGAGGGTTTAGGGAACAGGTGTGTGAAGAGAGGGGAAATGTGTGTGTAGGTGAATTGCACGTATGTGTGTGGTGGGGGTGTGTGTATGTATGTAGTGGATGTGTGTGTAGTGTGTGTGTAGGGGGTGTGTGTGTGCATAGGGTGTTGGTGTCGAGGGTGTGCGTGTGTGTGTAGGGGGTGTGTGTGTGTAGGGGGTGTATGTGTGTAGGGGGTGCGTGGGTGTGTACGTGGGTATGTAGGGAGTGTGCGTGTGTGTGTAGGGAGTGTGTGTGTAGGGAGTGTGCGTGGGTGTGTGTAGGGGGTGTGCGTGGGTGTGTGTAGGTGTGCGTGGGTGTGTAGGGGGTGTGTGTGTAGGGTGTGTGGGTGTCGGAGGTGTGCGTGGGTGTGTGTAGGGGGTGCGTGGGTGTGTAGGGGGTGTGCGTGGGTGTTTATGTAGGGAGTATGCGTGGGTATGTGTAGGGGGTGTGCGTGGGTGTTTGTGTAGGGGGTGTGCATTGGTGAGGGTGTATGTTTAGGAGGTGTACGTGGGTGTGTGTAGGGGGTGTGCATTGGTGTGGGTAGGGGGTGTGCGTGGGTGTGTGTAGAGGGGTGCGTGGGTGTGTAGTGAGTGTGTGTAGGGGGTGTGCGTGGGTGTGTGTAGGTGGTGTGCGTGGGTGTGTGTAGGGGGTGTGCATTGGTGTGGGTGTATGTTTAGGGGGTGTGCGTGGGTGTGTGTAGGGGGTGTGCATTGGTGTGTGTAGGGGGTGTGCGTGGGTGAGTGTAGGGGGGTGCGTGGGTGTGTAGGGGGGTGCGTGGGTGTGTGTAGGGGGTGTGCATTGGTGTGTATAGGGGTGCGTGGGTGTGTAGGGAGTGTGTGTGTAGGGGGTGTGCGTGGGTGTGTGTAGGGGGTGCGTGGGTGTGTAGGGAGTGTGTGTGTAGGGGGTGTGCGTGGGTGTGTGTAGGTGGTGTGCGTGGGTGTGGGTGTATGTTTAGGGGGTGTGCGTGGGTGTGTGTAGGGGGTGTGCATTGGTGTGTGTAGGGGGTGTGCGTGGGTGTGTGTAGGGGGTGTGCGTGGGTGTGTGTGTAGGGGTGTGCGTGGGTGTTTGTGTAGGGGGTGTGCGTGGGTTGTGTAGGAGGTGTGCGTGGGTGTGTGTAGGGGGGTGCGTGTGTGTGTAGGGAGTGTGTGCGTGGGTGTGTAAGGGGTATGTGTAGGGGGTGTGCGTAGGGGTGTGTAGGGGGTGTGCGTGGGTGTTTGTGTAGGGGGTGTGCGTGGGTGTTTGTGTAGGGGATGTACGTGGGTGCTTGTGTAGGGGGTGAGTGTGTGTAGGGGGTGTGCGTGGGTGTGTGTAGGGGGTGTGCGTGGGTGTGTGTAGGTGTGCGTGGGTGTGTGTAGTGCGTGGGCGTGTGTAGGGCGTGTGTGTGGGTGTGTGTGTAGGAGGTGTACGTGGGTGCTTGTGTAGGGGGTGTGCGTGGGTGTGTGTAGGAGGTGTGCGTGGGTGTTTAGGGGGGTGTGTGTGTGTGGAGAGAGTGTGTGCGTTGGTGTGTAGGGGGTATGTGTAGGGGGTGTGCGTGGGTGTGCGTAGGGGGTGTGCGTGGGTGTGTGTAGGAGGTGTGCGTGGGTGTGTGTAGGGGGTGTGCGTGGGTGTGTGTAGGGCGTGTGCGTGGGTGTGTAGGGGGTGTGTGTGGGTGTTTGTGTAGGGGGTGTGCGTGGGTGTGTGTAGGGGGTGTGCGTGGGTGTGTGTAGGGGGTGTGCGTGGGTGTGTGTGTAGGGGGTGTACGTGGGTGTGTGTAGGGGGTGTGCGTGGGTGTGTGTAGGGGGTGTACGTGGGTGTGTGTAGGGGGTGTGCGTGGGTGTGTGTAGGAGGTGTGCGTGGGTGTGTGTAGGGGGTGTGCGTGGGTGTGTGTGTAGGAGGTGTACGTGGGTGTTTGTGTCGGGGGTGTACGTGGGTGTTTGTGTAGGGGGTGTGCGTGGGTGTTTGTGTAGGGGGTGTGCGTGGGTGTTTGTGTAGAGGGTGTGCGTGGGTGTGTGTAGGGGTGTACGTGGGTGTTTGTGTATGGGGTGTGCGTGGGTTTGTGTAGGGGGTGTGCGTGGGTGTGTGTAGGAGGTGTACGTGGGTGTTTGTGTAGGGGGTGTGCGTGGGTTTGTGTAGGGGGTGTGCGTGGGTGTGTGTAGGAGGTGTGCGTGGGTGTGTGTAGGGGGTGTGCGTGGGTGTTTGTGTAGGGGGTGTGCGTGGGTTTGTGTAGGGGGTGTGCGTGGGTGTGTGTAGGGGGTGTGCGTGGGTGTTTGTGTAGGGGGTGTGCGTGGGTGTTTGTGTAGGGGGTGTGCGTGCGTGTGTGTAGGGGGTGTACGTGGGTGTGTGTGTGTAGGGGGTGTACGTGGGTGTTTGTGTAGGGGGTGTACGTGGGTGTTTGTGTAGGGGGTGTGCGTGGGTGTGTGTGTAGGGGGTGTGCGTGGGTGTGTGTGTAGGGGGTGTGCGTGGATGTGTGTGTAGGGGGTGTGCGTGGGTGTGCGTCTCGCTCATGGGCCATGCAACCGCGGTGTGTAGCCATGCGAGTGTGCGACAGAGATGTCACACACGGACAGGCCCGGAGTGTGTAGTCGTATTGTGTGATTGTGTGAGTGTGCGGTGGTGGGTGTCACGCACACACAGACAGGGGGTGTGTAGCCGTATGAGTGTGCGTGTGGGGGGAGTGTGCGCGTGTGCGTGGGGGCGTGCAATGGGGGTGTGTTGTTGTGGGGTTGCACAGACAGGCAGTGGTGTATAGCCATGCGGGTGTTTGCATTGATGGTGTCACACACAGACAGGCAGTAGGGTGCAGCCAATGCGGATGCGTGTGCGCGTGTACGGTAGTGGTATAACACGCACATCGTGGTGTGTGGGTGTGTGGTGGTATCACACACGGACAAGTAGTGGATGTGTGGGTGTGTAGTCGTGCAGGTGTGTAGGCATGTGTGTGTGCAGGTGTGTGTGTGTGTGCGAGTGTGTGTGTGGAGGTGGTGTGTGTGTGTGGTGGTATCACACACAGACAGGCAGGCCCAGGCAGGGTGATTGGTTTGTCCGTCCGTCTGCCCACGCGTGCCACACCCGACACAAACACCCACGCACACCGTCACACGCACACCCCGCACAGAGGCACAGATCCAGTATCCCTCCCCCCGCCCCTACTAGAACCGTAGTGCAGAGTGTTGGGGCTGGTGCTGTTGGCGAGCACCTATTAAGGCCGGCACGGCGTGGTTGGGGCCAACTCAACCCCACCCCCACGTGTGCCGACCGGACCTTAATAGATGCTCACACCCCATATACACAACACCCTGCTCACTCTCCCATCCCCATAGACCCCACCACACGCATTGAGACCACCCGAATCACCCACAGCCCCATGCAAACCCATGTTAACATTGAGATTCCCCTCCGCATGAAAGTGTACGAGACGCGAACATTTTCTGCTTGGAATAATTGCAGCGAAGCAGTGCAACTGCCTTGCGACCGGGGTGGGGGGGGGGGATGGCCCAGGGAAGTTGAGATCTCAGAAAACGCTGTCTGAAATCGCGACGATATTTATCCACGGCTAGAGAGAGGCACACACAGATTGTGCCCCGCAAAGAGTGTTGGGCGCATCGTCTGCCGAGCCGAAACGTTCACTTCTCTGGCTGGCACGTAGCCCAACTTAGCGTAAAGTCTAAATGTGGACTCCACTGTTCCATCTGTATGGTACTGGGTGTTTTCTCCAGGTGCTCCGGTTTTCCTCCAACGTGTATGAACACTCATTAATGGGCCGATAACGCCTTCATGTGTAGAGTACCGCAGAACTTGGGGACATTTCTGGCGCCAGCTCATCGTGTGGCTGCTGCTGTTGCCACTTGTCTGTGGTTCCTCCTCGCGCCTCTGAGTCGTTCTCTCTCTCTCTGCGAGCGCTGAAACTGCATCGGCGCGTTACGGGTTGAACGTTCTATTCAATTAATTATAATACTTATAATTACGAAGCGCCCTTCTGAGCCATTCCCCCACCTCGGGTCACAGCCACTTACAGCGGCAGGCGGGGTGTGCAGGTACACATCAGGGTGTACAGGTGGGCAGGTGCGGCAGGTGTGAAGGCGTTTAGGGGAACAGGTGCGCGTGAGCGGGTGAACGGGGTGTGAACAGCTTGCACAGACCCTGGGCAGGTGTGCAGGAATGTGGTGCATTCTCACGAGGATTGGAGTGTGACGGTGTTCGGGATAGGGATGGAAATGATCGCATGGATCATACAAAAAAATGATGTCATAAATTAAAACACAGGTGTGCGGGAAGCAGTGATACCTGGCACACGAGTCTCTCTCCACGGAGGCCTCCTCCGCACACCTACACACGTGGCGGGGCCGAGCACACACCACAACACACCACCCCACGACACACCACCCCACGACACACCACCCCACGACACACCACCCCACGACACACCACCCCACGACACACCACCCCACGACACACCACACCAAGATAAACCACGGAACACCACAACAAACCACGACACACCACGACACACAACACCACGATACACCGCACCACGACACACCAACCCACGACACACAATACCGCGACACCCCACACCACAATACACCAAAACACCCCATACCACAACATACAACACCACGCCATGCCAGGCCACAGCACAGCACAACACAGCGCACCACCAAGTGGAAACATGGACAACAAAATCAATGCAGAAGACGTGACCATTCCGATAAAGAAACAGATGTTGATGATGATGATGGCGACAATGGAGAAGATAACTTGGGGGTCATGGCAGGGTCCAACGTGCGTCTTAGGGGTACGGCGACATGAAGACCTTGATTGGCCCAGCGTGGTTAGCGTTAGGGTCTGATTGGCTAGCGTGGTAGGGATAATGATAGTGACGTTAACTTTAGGGTCTAATTGCTTCCTGTGGTTAGGGACAGAGCTATAATGAAATTGTGATTGGTTGTTGTGGTTATGAATGAATCTGTGATAAATTTTTAATCGGTTCGTGGAGCTACAGATCTGATCCGACTGGCTAGTGTGGTTAGGAATTGGGTTTTAGTGATTAGTAGAGTTAGCACTAGAGCTATGGAGATGCTGTGATTGGTAAGTATGGTTAGCTTTAGAGCAAAGGTGAGCCTGTGATTGGTTAGTGTGGTTAGATATTGAGTCACGGTGAGGCTGTAATTGGGTAATGTGGTTAGTGGTAGAGCCTCAGTGAGCCTGTGATTGGTTAGTGTGGTTAGTGGTAGAACCACGGTGAGCCTGTGATTGGTTAGTGTGGTTAGCGGTAAAGTCATGGTGAGCCTGTCATTGGTTAGTGTGGTTAGCGGTAAAGTCATGGTGAGCCTGTGATTGGTTAGTGTGGTTAGTGGTAGAGCCACGGTGAGCCTGTGATTGGTTAGTGTGGTTAGCGGTAGAGCCACGGTGAGCCTGTGATTGGTTAGTGTGGTTAGTGGTAGAGCCACGGTGAGCCTGTGATTGGTTAGTGTGGTTAGCGGTAGAGCCACGGTGAGCCTGTCATTGGTTAGTGTGGTTAGTGGTAGAGCCACGGTGAGCCTGTGATTGGTTAGTGTGGTTAGTGGTATAGCCACTGTGAGTCTGTCATTGGTTAGTGTGGTTAGTGGTAGAGCCACGGTGAGCCTGTGATTGGTTAGTGTGGTTAGTGGTATAGCCACTGTGAGCCTGTCATTGGCTAGTGTGGTTAGTGGTAGAGCCACGGTGAGCCTGTGATTGGTTAGTGAGGTTAGTGGTAGGGCCACGGTGAGCCTGTAATTGGTTAGTGTGGTTAGCGGTAAAGTCATAGTGAGCCTGTGAATAGTTAATGTGGTTAGCGGTAAATTCATGGTGAGCCTGTGATTGGTTAGTGTGGTTAGCGGTAGGGCCACGGTGAGCCTGTGATTGGTTAGTATGGTTAACGGTCGTGTCACGATGAGCCTGTGATTGGTTAGTGTGGTTAGCGGTAGTGCCATGATGAGCCTGTGATTGGTTAGTGTGGTTAGCAGTGGAGCCACGGTGAGCCTGTGATTGGTTAGTGTGGTTAGCGGTAAAGTCATGGTGAGCCTGTTATTGGTTAGTGTGGTTAGTGGTAAAGTCATGGTGAGCCTGTCATTGGTTAGTGTGGTTAGCGGTAAAGTCATGGTGAGCCTGTCATTGTTTAGTGTGGTTAGCGGTAAAGTCATGGTAAGCCTGTTATTGGTTAGTGTGGTTATCGGTAAAGTCATGGTGACCCTGTCATTGGTTAGTGTGGTTAGTGGTAGAGCCACGGTAAGCCTGTGATTGGTTAGTGAGGTTAGCGGTAAAGTCATGGTGAGCCTGTCATTGGTTAGTGTGGTTAGTGGTACAGCCACGGTGAGCCTGTGATTGGTTAGTGTGGTTAGCGGTAAAGTCATGGTGAGCCTGTGAATAGTTAGTGTGGTTAGCGGTAAATTCATGGTGAGCCTGTGATTGGTTAGTGTGGTTAGCGGTAGGGCCACGGTGAGCCTGTGATTGGTTAGTGTGGTTAACGGTCGTGTCACGATGAGCCTGTGATTGGTTAGTGTGGTTAGTGGTAGGCGGAGGGTGCTCACCGGGGAAACTTGCCGGATCCCTGCCCTTCGTCGTCAAACTCCAGCCTAGGGGGGACGGCACAGGGGCACAGGGGAGAGGAGTCCAACCGTGGCCCCGCCACCTCTCATCCACTGCCCACTGAGGCCAGCGGGCCAGCTGCATAAATTATCTCAAATTATAATACTAATAATAACTACATACAATGTTTTATTTGCATTTAGTGGTGCGATTGAAGCAAATGGCATCTCAAAACACCGCGGAAGCATTTGTAACGGTGTTTGCACGCCAGGCGTGGGTAACCACAAGCGCATGGGACAAATACGACCAGAACCGGCGCTACCAACAATTGCCCAAGCTCTGTTGTTCTATAATGGGTGATGCTCGACCGGCTCCATTGACAAGCGTTAGCACAATGTAGAGAAGAATTGCGTTCGACCGATGGTGAGACGACACTACCTGCACGCCAGACGTCATCTGCTGACAGTGCGGGGGGTGGGGCATGTACGTCGTGGTAACAAAGTGCAAGAATATGACAATTGCTGCAATGATGTCGTTTTAGACAGCACCTTTAACCGTTTAATTTAACTGTCCGTGTGTCTGTCTGTTTGACAGTTGTATGTTGGCGTCCGTGTGTCTATGTGTCTCTGTCTCTCAATTATTTAATGTCATTGTCTATGCGTCTGTTGATTAATTCCGTAGCGCGGCACTGGCCCTGGTGGATTTGCGTGTTCATTGTTTCAGCCTCCGTTATTGTGGCTCCCAGCTCCCGTTGCCTGTCCACGTCTTCCACCCACCATCTACATCCCCCCCTCGACCGAGTCACAATTCTCAACAACACCACGACCACCATCTCCAAGCCTGAGCAAGGTCTCCTCCCAGCCTCGATGCTCTTCCAAAACCAAACTCTCAACTCACCCCCTCGCCAAGGGCTCTGACACCACCTACATATTGAGCAACAGCACTCAACACGTCTGTCAACAACACCCCGTGTATGTGTGCGTATGCGTGGCCTTGAAAGGAAAGAAATATAACTAGGCGACGTTTCTGGCAATGGTCCTCTTTCATAGCACATCAATATATTGGGCGCCGTGGTGGCGAGGTGTTAACTCCCTCGCCTGGTATGCAGGAGGTCGTGGGTTCGATCCCAACTCTGCGCCTGTATATTTGGAGTTTGTAATGTTTCTCTCCGCCTGGTTGAGTCGATTTTTCTCCGGGTCCTCCGTTTTTTTCTCCTCCACATTTAGAATCAACATCACGCGTTTAGAGTATTTGGCTGCTATACATTTCAACATGATAAGCCACTTCGTTGAGCTATCATTTGTGGCCAGGTCGCTTCTGAAAAGAGCTATATACAGTGAGGGAAAAAACGTATTTGTTCCTCTGCTGATTTTGTACGTTTGCCCACTGACAAAGAAATGATCAGTCTATAATTTTAATGGTAGGTTTATTTGAACAGTGAGAGACAATAACATCAAGAAAATCCAGAAAAACGCATGTAAAAAATGATATAAATTGATTCGCATTTTAATGAGGGAAATAAGCATTTGACCCCCTCTCAATCAGAAATATTTCTGGCTCCCAGGTGTCTTTTATACAGGTAACGAGCTGAGATTAGGAGCACACTCTTAAAGGGAGTGCTCCTAATCTCAGCTTGTTACCTGTATAAAAGACACCTGTCCACAGAAGCAATCAATCAATCAGATTCCAAACTCTCCACCATGGCCAAGACCAAAGAGCTCTCCAAGGATGTCAGGGACAAGATTGTACACCTACACAAGGCTGGAATGGGCTACAAGACCATTGCCAAGCAGCTTGATGAAAAGGTGACAACAGTTGGTGCGATTATTCGCAAATGGAAGAAACACAAAAGAACTGTCAATCTCCCTCGGCCTGGTGCTCCATGCAAGATCTCGCCTCGTGGAGTTGCAATGATCATGAGAACGGTGAGGAATCAGCCCAGAACTACACGGGAAGATCTTGTCAATGATCTCAAGGCAGCTGGGACCATAGTCACCAAGAAAACAATTGGTAACACACTATGCCGTGAAGGACTGAAATCCTGCAGCGCCCGCAAGGTCCCCCTGCTCAAGAAAGCACATATACATGCCCGTCTGAAGTTTGCCAATAAACATCTAAATGATTCAGAGGACAACTGGGTGAAAGTGGTGTGGTCAGATGAGACCAAAATGGAGCTCTTTGGCATCAACTCAACTCGCCGTGTTTGGAGGAGGAGGGATGCTGCCTATGACTCCAAGAACACCATCCCCACGGTCAACAATAGAGGTGGAAACATTATGCTTTGGGGGTGTTTTTCTGCTAAGGGGACAGGACAACTTCACCGCATCAAAGGGACGATGGACGGGGCCATGTACCGTCAAATCTTGGGTGAGAACCTCCTTCCCTCAGCCAGGGAATTGAAAATGGGTCGTGGATGGGTATTCCAGCATGACAATGACCCAAAAGACACGGCCAAGGCAACAAAGGAGTGGCTCAAGAAGAAGCACATAAAGGTCCTGGAGTGGCCTAGCCAGTCTCCAGACCTTAATCCCATAGAAAATTTGTGGAGGGAGCTGAAGGTTCGAGTTGCCAAACGTCAGCCTCGAAACCTTAATGACTTGGAGAAGATCTGCAAAGAGGAGTGGGACAAAATCCCTCCTGAGATGTGTGCAAACATGGTGGCCAACTACAAGAAACGTCTGACCTCTGTGATTGCCAACAAGGGTTTTGCCACCAAGTACTAAGTCATGTTTTGCAGAGGGGTCAAATACTTATTTCCCTCATTAAAATGCAAATCAATTTATAACATTTTTGACATGCGTTTTTCTGGATGTTGTTGTTGTTGTTATTCTGTCTCTCACTGTTAAAATAAACCTACCATTAAAATTATAGACTGATCATTTCTTTGTCAGTGGGCAAACGTACAAAATCAGCAGGGGATCAAATACTTTTTTCCCTCACTGTAGCTCAGTGGGCCTTACCTGGTAAAATAAAAAAATATATAGTTTAGTTTATATTATCAGCTTGGTCAATGCCTCCATCTCATCCGGTACCGTTCCCATTGCTCTTCAGGCTGTTGCTGCTGCTGCGACTTCCCCTGGACCCCATCATCCCTGTCACATCACCTCTCCCTCTGTCTGGGAGGAGTCGATTCCACTTTCGAATCTCCTCCTTCCATCATCATCATCATTTATCACGGTTGGCTCTACGTACGGTGCGAGAGAAGTTCAACATGCATCATTATCTGAGCTCTTACACTAATAACCTCGCTCGATTCAAAGACTCGCGTTGCACTCTCAATCTATTACAACGCTGATAATGTCGCCGTTTGTTGCTGGCGGCTTCACGTTTTGGAATTTTGAAACGAGGATAGTGAGGCGAATCCGACGAGATGCGCGAGGTGAGTGAGGTGAATCAGATGAGGTGAGTGAGGTGAATCGGACGAGGTGAGTGAGGCGAGTCAGACGAGGTGAGTGAGGTGAATCAGACGAGGTGAGTGAGGTGAATCAGACGAGGTGAGTGAGGTGAATCAGACGAGGTGAGTGAGGTGAATCAGACGAGGTGAGTGAGGTAAATCAGACGAGGTGAGTGAGGTGAATCAGACGAGGTGAGTGAGGCGAGTCAGACGAGGTGAGTGAGGCGAGTCAGACAAGGTGAGTGAGGTGAATCAGACGAGGTGAGTGAGGTAAATCAGACGAGGTGAGTGAGGTGAGTCAGACGAGGTGAGTGAGGTGAATCAGACGAGGTGAGTGAGGTGAATCAGACGAGGTGAGTGAGGTAAATCAGACGAGGTGAGTGAGGTGAATCAGATGAGGTGAGTGAGGCGAGTCAGACGAGGTGAGTGAGGTGAGTCAGACGAGGTGAAATAAGTGAATCAGACGAGGTGAGTGAGATGAATCAGACGAGGTGAGTGAGGCGAGTCAGACGAGGTGAGTGAGGTGAATCAGATGAGGTGAGTGAGGCGAGTCAGACGAGGTGAGTGAGGTGAATCAGACGAGGTGAGTGAGGTGAATCAGACGAGGTGAGTGAGGCGAGTCAGACGAGGTGAGTGAGGTGAATCAGATGAGGTGAGTGAGGCGAGTTAGACGAGGTGAGTGAGGTGAGTCAGACGAGGTGAGTGAGGTAAATCAGACGAGGTGAGTGAGGTGAATCAGACGAGGTGAGTGAGGTGAATCAGACGAGGTGAGTGAGGCGAATCAGACGAGGTGAGTGAGGTGAATCAGACGAGGTGAGTGAGGTAAATCAGACGAGGTGAGTGAGGTGAATCAGACGAGGTGAGTGAGGCGAGTCAGACGAGGTGAGTGAGGCGAATCAGACGAGGTGAGTGAGGTGAATCAGACGAGGTGAGTGAAATAAATCAGACGAGGTGAGTGAGGCGAGTCAGACGAGGTTAGTGAGGCGAGTCAGACGATGTGTGTGAGGTGAGAGGAGATGACAGATACCAGGTGAGATGCGTGAGAAGAGACGAGGTGAGGCGAGACGAGGTGAGGCGAGACGAGGTGAGCGAAATGAGGTGAGCGAGACGAGGTGATGTGAGACGAGGTGAGGTGAGACGAGGTGAGGCGAGACGAGGTGAGCGAGACGAGGTGATGAGAGACGAGGTGAGCGAGACGAGATGATGTGAGACGAGGTGAGGCGAGACGAGGTGAGCGAGGCGAGGTGATGTGAGACGAGGTGAGGCGAGACGAGGTGAGCGAGACGAGGTGATGAGAGACGAGGTGAGCGAGACGAGGTGAGCGAGACGAGGTGATGTGAGACGAGGTGATGTGAGACGAGGTGAGGCGAGACGAGGTGAGGCGAGACGAGGTGAGGCGAGATGAGGTGAGCGAGACGAGGTGATGAGAGACGAGGTGAGCGAGACGAGGTGAGCGAGACGAGGTGAGCGAGACGAGGTGATGTGAGACGAGGTGATGTGAGACGAGGTGAGCGAGACGAGGTGATGTGAGACGAGGTGATGTGAGACGAGGTGAGCGAGACGAGGTGAGCGAGACGAGGTGAGGCGAGACGAGGTGATGTGAGACGAGGTGAGCGAGACGAGGTGAGCGAGACGAGGTGAGGCGAGACGAGGTGATGTAAGACGAGGTGAGCGAGACGAGGTGATGTGAGACGAGGTGAGCGCGACGAGGTGAGCGCGACGAGGTGATGAGAGACGAGGTGAGCGAGACGAGGTCATGTGAGACGAGGTGAGCGTGACGAGGTGATGTGAGACGAGGTGAGCGAGACGAGGTGATGTGAGACGAGGTGAGCGAGACGAGGTGATGTGAGACAAGGTGAGCGAGACGAGGTGATGAGATACGAGGTGAGCGAGACGAGGTGAAATGAGGTGAGCGAGACGAGGTGATGAGAGACGAAGTGATGTGAGACGAGGTGAGCGAGACGAGGTGATGTGAGACGAGGTGAGCGAGACGAGGTGATGTGAGACGAGGTGAGCGAGACGAGGTGATGTGAGACGAGGTGTCACACCCTGGGCGCCGCTTGCCCCTCTGCCCTGCAGCGACGCAGCCCTGGGTTGAGGCGGTGACCCCGGCAGGGGTCCCTGACCCCGTGACCCCAGTGACCCCGGCGGGCACGGCTTGGTCAGTCATTTCAGCCGCTGGGGTCACAGGGAGGAGGAGGGGGGAGTAAGGGGGGAGGGGGGGGGGCATGGTGAGAATGGGGTCATCACTCCGGTCACCACCTCACACCTGTCACCATGACAACCTCACACCTGTCATCATCACCAACCTCATCACACACCTGTCACCATGACAACCTCACACCTGTCATCATCACCCACCTCATAGCACACCTGTCACCATGACAACCTCCCACCTGTCATCATCATCAACCTCATCGCACACCTGTCACCATGACAACCTCACACCTGTCATCATCACCAACCTCATCACACACCTGTCACCATGACAACCTCACACCTGTCATCATCACCCACCTCATAGCACACCTGTCACCATGACAACCTCCCACCTGTCATCATCATCAACCTCATCGCACACCTGTCACCATGACAACCTCACACCTGTCATCATCACCCACCTCATCACACACCTGTCACCATGACCTCACACCTGTCATCATCACCCACCTCATCACCCACCTGTCACCATGACCACCTCACACCTGTCATCATCACCCACCTCATAGCACACCTGTCACCATGACAACCTCACACCTGTTATCATCACCAACCTCATCACACACCTGTCACCATGACCACCTCACACCTGTCATCATCATCATCAACCTCATCACACACCTGTCACCATGACAACCTCACACCTGTCATCATCACCAACCTCATCACCCACCTGTCACTATGACAACCTCACACCGGTCACCATGACCTCATCGCACACCTGTCACCATGACAACCTCATCGCACACCTGTTACCATGACCACCTCACACCTGTCACCATGACAACCTCATCGCACACCTGTCACCATAACAACCTCACACCTGTCACCATGACAACCTCATCGCACACCTGTTACCATGACCACCTCACACCTGTCATCATCACCAACCTCATCACACACCTGTCACCATAACAACCTCACACCTGTCACCATGACAACCTCATCGCACACCTGTTACCACGACCACCTCACACCTGTCATCATCACCAACCTCATCACACACCTGTCACCATAACAACCTCACACCTGTCACCATGACAACCTCATCGCACACCTGTCACCATGACAACCTCATCGCACACCTGTCACCATGACCACCTCACACCTGCCATCATCACCGACGGCATGACGCACGTCTCACGATCACACACGGACCTTCACCACCCTCCATCATCACCACCATCCCCCCCGTCATCTCCATCATCACCTTCCTGCATCGTTCTTTCTCATCAGCACCCTCCATAATCCTCATCCCCCCCCTACCACCACCCATCATCATCCCCCATCACCGAGCCACAGGAAGACACACACAGAGCCCCACCCCCCACCCACCCACACCCCAAGACGAATGGGACGTGTTCCCATTATTCCTCTCATCACCATTCCGCTCACGCACGCTCCTCTCTCCCCACCAAATCCTCGCCCCTCACTACCACCACCCTCACCCGCGTTCGCTGCGGCTGCCGCCATTTCACGCGGCGGAGACGAAGTCTTGGGGCTCCAGTCTCCCGGCGTCTCCCCGTGTGTCCCTCTGTCTCCCCGTGTCTCCCCGTGTCTCCCTCTGTCTCCCTGTGTCTCCGCAGCTCCCTCTGCTCCTGCCAGGGATGCAACACAATGGAGGCGGACCCAGCGAGCAGCGCCCCTCCCCTCACCCCTCTTTCCTCCTCCCCTTTCCCTCCCCTCTCTCCTCCTCCCTCCTCCTTTTTCTCTCACTCGGCTCATTACCCCCTCGCGTCCCCCCACCCCGTCTCCTCACTCCCCCTCGTCCCCCCCCCTCCTCCATCCCCTCACCCCCCCTCCCCCTCCCTCCTCCTTCACCAATCCCTCACTCTCCCTTCTCCCTCCCCTCACCCCCCCTCCTCCCCCTCCTCCCTCCCCTCACTCCCCCTTCTCCCTCCCCTCACTCCCCCTCCTCCCTCCCCTCCCTCCCCTCACTCCCCCTCCTCCCTCCCCTCACTCCCCCTCCTCCCTCCCCTCACTCGTGACCAATTATGCGGCAATTTCTCGCCGTGCTAGCGGCGTTGCTGCTATTCCCTATTCTGTCGGTCGGGCTCCTTTGCCTCTTTCTGCTCGCGGCCGGCACCACGCCCCCAGTGAGGCACTGTGGTCCTGCACGCTGGGCTCACCCCTGTCCACACATTTACTTGTTACACTGCACTCAATGCTACGCGCCGGAGTGATCCGTTTTACATCACCACACTCGTAACGAATTGGCACGTTCTGTTTACGTGACAACCCTTACTCTTTGGCTGTGTCGGGTGGTGGCGGGCTTTAACGACACATTTATATATTTACGCGATTTAACCCTCCCCAAAAAACTCTATTAGAGAGCCATAGACTCTGTTATACATATTGTGATTTTAAAAAAAATAAAATATGAATAAAAATTATCGTGTAATGTTAATATCACTAAAAGTGTGTTTAAGTGTAAAATGCGTGTTTTATTTTAATAAAAAAATAATTATTAATGTGTGTTGTTATTGGCTCTCTCGTTGTCTCGGGATCTGTATTATCAATCGTGATTTTATCCACGATTCCTGCTTTAAAATGTATGTGTTTTAATTGTGACAGGTCTCACGCTTCAGATCTCACCACAGGATACAATTCTCGTAATTTAGATGATGCATGCGTTAGGAAAGAAGCACTCACTCTTCTTTAATCTAAGCCACTTAAATATCAACTTAATCTCGTAACCAAAAACACGTGCCATCAAAATAGAAACAACAGTAGCCATGCAAATATTCGTACTCGTCAATCCGTACTGGATGATCGTAAAAGCATCCCATCTCACGATCCCGTGATTAAAGAAATAAAATAGGCTCTCTCATGGCAACGCTACAATACACGATTCCAATTTTGATTTAAAGCTTTCGTGACTGCAGGCATTCATATTACTGGTTCTTTCGGTAAAGTCACGTAGAAGGGAAACAATAAAATAAGAAAAATATAAAACAATAAAATTCTCACGACGTTTCGATTGCAACACAAGCAATCATCATCATCAGGTGTGAAAACCACAGCAAGAACATTTTCTTACTGATGACTGCTTGTGTTGCAGTCGAAACGTCGTGAGAATTGTATTGTATTATATTTTTATTATTTTATTGTTTCCCTTCTACGTGACTTTACCGAAAGAACCAGGCATATGAATACACGATTCGTTTGTTATGGTGCGTGATGCATGCAAGCTGAGATTATTCTTGGCCCGCAACCTGTACACAAGGTACCCCAAGTCCCACAACGATGTCTACTACGGCAGGCTTGATCCACAGCTGCAGTGGGCTCGCGGCCACTCTGCCCCCCGCTCGTTCGCGGCGTTGTCTGTGCATGGTGCTCGATCCACAGGTCGACTGCTCTCGCGACTCTCGAGTCAGCAGGCTGCCAGGCAGACGCCGACTGCCTGCCACGCGACACCCTCGCAGCCGTCTGCACGCCAGGCTCGATCTGCTGCTACGCTGGGCCAGCACGCTGCCTGTCCGCAGAGCTGATTGGTTTGGTGACCACCCTTGGTACCTCACTCTCAAGAGAACCCCCGCTGTACTCTTTGGTTCTATTCGGTAAAGTCACGTAGGTAAAAAAAAAATCACGACGTTTCGGCCACAACACAAGCGGCCTTCATCAGGTGAAGGGACGAGACTGTCTCCAGACTGTCTCGAGGACAGCACTGGAGTGTCCTCGAGACAGTCCGGTCCCTTCACCTGATGAAGGCCGCTTGTGTTGTGGCCGAAACGTCGTGATTTTTGTTGTTTTATTTTTTTACCTACGAGACTTTACCGAATAGAACCAAAGAGTATGGATCCTTGCAGTCACGAAAGCTTCAAATCTAGAACCCCCGCTGTGTCCACACGCACTCCAACACTTTCTCTCCACAACTCTCGTACAATGTCAGATCCACTTGACCAACATAACTTTTCCAGCCTATAGCTTGGATAATATTTCATGCACACTCGATAATGGTGTATAACTCAAATCTCCACTTAACTTCTCACACGTCTCAGCTTATCACAGAATTATATCGAAGTTCTTGACACTGCGAGTGAGTCAAAATACGAAATAAAATGTAAAATAAAACGTTCAGCGACACTTAGATTCTGCCTGAGCAAGAACTCACGTTTAGAGACTCAGAGCTGTTGCCTCTGCACAGCTCAACTCACGGCTGATTACCAGGGCCAGACCACGGAGTCTGCCTATGCAGGACTTTATACTATTTGGTTCTGTTCGAATAGAACCAAAGAGTATGGATCCTTGCAGTCACGAAAGCTTCAAATCTATGCAGGACTTGTTTGCGTAACTTTTGTCTACTGTCATGTAGTTTCTAGCTCGTTAAATTAGTTCCCTAAGGTACGTCAAAAGCTACTCCTACTTTCACGCCCCTCGAGCATTCATCCGGTCAGTCTTAGGTCACCTTTTGCTCTGCCTCCACAGCCATCCTCGCACCAGATGTCGCCCTCACTTCAGTCGGAGGTCATCTAGCGGGTGTGGACACGGACACACTCACTGGTCCCGTGGTGTGGTGGGTGTGTGCAGTCCATGTGATTAAGTGTGAAAGGGCCTTAGTTACACCTTTAGGTCGACTCAGCCTGAATATGAATGCCTGGTCTGGCAAGTAAGGATTGCCACTGGGAAAACAAAGGCGGTCGGGCACAGCTTTGGTTGCACCCTTTGAATGCATTAAGTTGGTTGCATAGAGTCTACGGGTCTCTGTGTGATGAGTCTACGGGTCTCTGTGTGGTGAGTCTATGGGTCTCTGTGTGATGAGTCTATGGGTCTCTGTGTGATGAGTCTATGGGTCTCTGTGTGATGAATCTATGGGTCTCTGTGTGATGAGTTTATGGGTCTCTGTGTGGTGAGTCTATGGGTCTCTGTGTGATGAGTCTATGGGTCTCTGTGTGATGAGTCTATGGGTCTCTGTGTGATGAGTCTATGGGTCTCTGTGTGATGAGTTTATGGGTCTCTGTGTGATGAGTTTATGGGTCTCTGTGTGATGAGTCTATGGGTCTCGGTACGATGAGTCTATGGGTCTCTGTGCGATGAGTTTATGGGTCTCTGTGTGATGAGTTTATGGGTCTCTGTGTGATGAGTTTATGGGTCTCTGTGTGATGAGTCTATGGGTCTGTGTGATGAGTCTATGGGTCTCTGTGTGATGAGTCTATGGGTCTGTGTAATGAGTTTATAGGTCTCTGTGTGATTGAGTCTATGGATATCTGTGTGATGAGTCTATGGGTCTCTGTGTGGTGAATCTATGGGTCTCTGTGTGATGAGTCTATGGGTCTCATCGCAACCATCAGCATCACAACAATCGGCAACATCACAACCATCATCACTATCAACATCACAACCATCATGAGCATCACATCAACTTTTAAACACCAACCTTTGAAAGTCAAACCTTAAACAACAACCCTTAAACACAAACCCTTAAACACCAATCCTTAAACATCAACCGTTAAAAGCCAACCCTTAAACGCCAAGCCTAAAACGCCAACCTTTAAACGGCAACCCTTAAAAAACCAACCATAAACACCAAACCTGAAATGCCAAACCCTGAAACACCAACCCTAATAAAGCCAACGCTTAAATAGCAACCCTTAAATGTCAACGAGTAAACACCAACCCTTAAAACACCAATCTTTATACATCAACCCTCAAACACCATCCCTTAAACACCAACCATTATATGACAACCCTTAAACGCCCAGCCTGAAACGCCAACCCTTAAACACCAACCCTTAAACAGCATCCCTTTAAACGCCAACCCTTTAACACCAACCCTTAAACGCATCCCTTAAACGCAACGCTAAAACGTCAACCCTTAAACACTTGCCCTTAAACGCCAACCCTTAAATACCAACTGTTAAACGCCAAGCCTTAAATGCCAACCATTTAAAACACCAACCCTTAATCACCAACCCTTAAACGCCAACCCTGAAACGCCAACGCTTAAACACCAACCATTAAAACAGCATCCCTTTAAAATCCAACCCTTAAACACCAATTCTTAAATGATACCCCTTAAACTCCAAACCTTTCAACACCAACTCTTGAACACCAACCTTTAACCACCAACACTTAAACACCAACCCTTAAACGCCAACCCTTAAACACCACTCTTTAATCGACATCTCTTAAACGCAAACCAATAAACACCAATCCTTAAAACACCAATCTTTAAATATCAACCCTTAAACACCAACCTTTAAACATCAACCCTTAAACGGCAACCCTTAAACTCCAACCCTTTAAACACAAACCCTTAAACGACAACCATTAAACACCAACCCTCAAACACCAAAACTTAAAAGCCAACCCTCTAACACCAACCTTTAAACACCAACCCTTGAAAGTCAAATCTTAAACAGCAACCCTTTAAACGCCAACCATTAAACACCAACCCTGAAACACCAACTCTGAAACGCCAACGCTTAAACACCAATTCGTAAACACCTACCCTTAAACAGCATCCCTTTAAACGCCAACCCTTGAACACCAACCCTTAAACGCATCGCTTAAATGCAACGCTAAAACGTCAACCCTTAAACAATCGCCCTAAAACGCCAACCCTTAAACACCAATCGTTACACGTCAAACCTTAAACCCCGATCATTTAAACGCCAACCATTAATCACCAGCCCTT